GTTGTTTACAACAATATCAAGCGGAAAAGATCATGGAGAAGGCCAGGTGAACCAACTCGAACAACATTAAAAGCTGATATTCATCAAAAGAAGGTTTTGTTATCAGTTTGGTGCAATTACAAAGGAATTGTCTACTATGAACTCTTACCACCCAACCGAATGATCAATTCTGATGTCTACATTGAACAACTAGCGAAATTAAACAATGCAGTTGAAGAAAAGCTGCCCGAATTGACAAATCGAAAAGGTGTTGTATTCCATCATGACAATACAAGGCCACACACATCTTTGGTGACTCGGCAAAAATTATTGGAGCTTGGTTGCCACATCCACCATATAGTCCTGACCTTGCATCATCTGATTACTTTTTGTTTCGATCTTTACAAAACTCCTTGAATGGTAAAAATTTTGATAATGATGATGATGTCAAATCGTACCTGATTTAGTTTTTTGCTAATAAAAACCAGAAGTTTTATGAATGTGGGATTATGATGCTGCCTGAAAGATGGCAAAAGGTCATTGATCAAAATGGGCAATACGTTACAGAATAAAGTTATTTAGTTCCATGAAAAAATTGTCTTTGATTTTCTAAAAAAAATCCGCAATTACTTAGTTGCCAACCCAATATATACTATATAAATACCACCACTATGGAAAACAATTATGTAATGTGTCTTCACAAGTATGTAATTGAAATAAGCAGTCCATTTTAAGTCAAACATACTGCATTATACAGTACAATGTTCGTAATCTGAAACTCAAAGGGACTTCGGCGATTCCGTATTAGAGGTTTTTCCAGAGTATAGATCATCAATTTAAATATGGTAAGATGGCATGCAGAAATTATACAATTAAAACTATGAAACTCTAATTTATGAAAGAGCAATTTTGATCTAAAGGGTATCAAAATTAACAAAAAAAGGGGGGGGAGGTTAATATTTATTTGTTTACTTTATTAAACATTTCTTTTAGTGTAAGTTGTTTAAGTTGCTTCATTTTTTGTGCTAATACTTTCTCTTTAATTCTCTCTTTTATAAAGAGACATAATTTCTTGTTCAGTTACAAAGTTCCACTGTTCAAATCCTGTAATTGCTGTGTCGAGAATACCGACTAACTGAAATTTTTTCGTTTTCAATAACCTCTCTGTCACTTTCTTCACTATCGGAAGCACGCATGTATAAACGCTTTACTGGCTTTACGTGCGTGCATAATGGACATGTGCATTAAATACGCATGCATAAGTTTGTGGCTTTGAGGTCTTGATTATAGATCATTCTGGATAATGGATGTCCAGATTACAGACTTTGTACTGTAATATCTTTTTTGTAAAATTTTTATGAATATACATAATTGGCTAACTTTGTAAAATGCAGCAGTTTAATCATGAATGTCAATGATTTCTTGTATAATTTGCATTGATGCTTTACATAGCAAAGTCAATCAGTTATCTTAACATGAAGATAAATATTCAAGATCTTATGTTAAATTGTTGTTACATGTACACTAGCTGCCAAATATTAAGCATTTGATGGTAAAATCAACAATTATGGAAAAGGGAAGCTATGATTAATTACATATTGCACATGAAGGTGGCAAAGGTGTTTATGCATGATAGAAAACAAGTGTTTATTAAATTTTATGAGGATGTCATTATTATATTAGGATCTGGATCATTAATAAACTGATTAAAACTTAAACAAGCAAACAAACTTATGTTAATAACGTATGTGACAACCCTGGATCTTCACACAAACTTTATAACAATTGGCCATACTTTCAATGAGATCATCAAACATCATACATGCTGGCAATGGCCATTCTTCCATTAGAACATTTTGCAACTGTGTAAAACTGATTATAGATCTAAGACTATGTAGACATAAGACTGATTGGAGGAGATGAACATGCAAAGGGTTCCTGAGAGTATCCAAAGATGTGGGAAATCTTATAAACCTTTGGATGCTCTCCTTAGGGCATCTCAAAGATTTTCAATATGATTAAGGGGGAGAGAATACAGTGGCCACTCTTTATGATAAATGCTGTCACTTCTGAGGTAACTGTTAACTATGTTGTCTCAACAAGGAGGGACATTATCATCCATAAGGAAGAAATCAAGACCAACTGCTCCAACATAGAGTCTTGCTATAAAGTGTAGGACTTCATCCCAACACCTTGCAGCTGGTTGTAATATTCCATAGAAAGTCTATTCTATACTATGATGCTTCCAACTCTGAATGCAAGATGTTTAATGATGATCTTTTTTTTTTTATTGTGAATGCTTCCTTTTCTCCAGACTCTTGCATGCTTATCATCTAATTCTAGGGCAAATCTGGACTTGTTCTATGAACAGGATATTTTGCCAGTCTGAGATAATCCAATTGAGATATTGATGACTCTACTGTAATCTTGCCTCAGTGGATTTGGTGGTTAGTGGATCACAAGCACTTTGTACTCAGACATATAGCCTCCAGTGTACAGTACTGGCAGATACATCTTACCAATTGACACTGTATCCATGGATGTAACAGATATGGAAGTCTTCTGTCAATTCTGCTTGGCTACTGAACCAATGCACTGATCTTCAGCAGGGTTGGTAACCCTTAGTTGACTGGGGACAAATCTCCAGACAACTGTTTGACTTTTTTGAAATCATTTCCACGTTTGAGAAATTTCCAAATGATTAATGCGAAAGAAAAGAGTGACATCTTTGATTTGACTGATCCTGCTTCAATGCACTTGAAAGCACACCTTTGCTCACAATCTGCCATTCATCTTTTTTTTTTTTTTTTTCTTACCATAAAAATACAAATATCATCAAAAATCATGCTATGAAAGTTACAAACATATTATCAGTATTTAAATGAACTGCCTCAAGCCTTTCAGACTACCAGCATTTTCAGGAGTGGCCTAGTTAGCATATGTTTTGGACAGTCAATCCTGACTAGCTTCAACGTACGATATTTGCATGCACAATGCTTTTCAGCCACTTAGATGGTTTTGAAAACTGCTAATTTGCATCGCATATTTAAAGCCAATTTATTATGCCTCCAACCTGAAATATCTAGCTTGTCTAGGCATGTTGACCTAAATGAGAAATGTGAATGTGATATCAGAAACAATACGAAAGATGACCATTCTATTCGAAATATGGGGGAGTTGATGGTTCTCTAGTGTTAAGATGTGAAGATTAGAAACCAATTAACATTAATCAGAGAATGAAAAAGCAGACATCTCTATTTTGCTTGAATAGATTTATGAGTGGCTTGTTCAAGGAGTCACAGTAGAAAATAAGATAAAAAAAGCCAATGCATGAGTAGCTCTATTATCAATTGATTTTTTCTTACTAGCAAATTAAAGCTTAATAGCTTACTATTACTCAAATACTGATATACAGTCAAAAGTCGTTAATCCGGACTCGTCGGGACTTCGGCTATTCCGGATTAATCGATTTTTCCGGATTATAGATCATCAGTTTAAATCTGGTAAAATGGCATGCAAAAATTATAAAATTAAAAATATGAAACCGTAATTTACGAAATAAAGAACAATTATAATCTAAAGGGTATCAAAATTTACAAAAAAAAGTGTAATATTTATTTGTTTACTTTATTAAACATTTCTTTCAATGTAAGTTGTTTAAGTTGCTTTGTTTTTATGTGATAATACGTTCTCTTTAATTCTATAAACAGACATAATTTCTTGTTCAGTTACAAAGTTCCACTGTTCAAGTCCTATAATTGCTGTTTTGAGAATACTGACTAATTTGTCAATCGAAATTTTTTCATTTTCAATAACCTCTGTCACTTTCTTCGCTATCGGAAGCGAATTATAATGATGAGGAATTTGATTTAAATAATATCAAAGACGGAGTACATCGAGATGAAATACTACATTTAGTAAGGAATTATAAGCCAAATAAAATAAAAACATCTGTCCTGAAGATAAGGATAGTGCTGACAGATCATCTTCCAATTCATTGCGTGCGGGGTTAAAGATAAACAAAGGATATGCCTTTATCCATTTTTTGCAGCAATTCCACTTTTTGTTTAATGGACTCCGAAACATACTTTCGCTTTGTAGATCCTTTACATATTAGTAAATATATATTGGAAATTCTATTTGACATAATCGAAAGTTCAAGCTTACTTTTATAAAATTGCTCTAACATTCTGCAAAAAATAACAAGCCGGATCCAATTCGAAGATTAAGGAACAACGCAATCTGCAACATTAACTGAAATAGATAATTAGATAATTTTAGCTTAGCTTATACCGTCTGTTATACATTAAACGCGCATTTGTAAACGTATTTTGCGGACGCGCACATGCAAATTCGCAGCCGTAAAGGTATTATGCGCATGCATCAAAATGACGCATGCACAGAAAGTTTGTAGCTTTGAGGTCCGGATTATGGGTGTCCGAATTAACGACTTTTGACTGTATTTGATATATTCAGTTAGAAGGGAGATTGTGTTAGAAGATTATAAAGTTTCAATCCTTATTTCATGTTCCATTTAAAAAAAAAAAAAAAAAATTAAGGTGCTCTTTTGACTCTTCCATGCAATTTTGAAATGATTATTGAAGTAGGCTAATTTACATAATTTTTGAATATGTTTCTGCTTTGGTCTATACTTGATGGTGTAATTAAATAATATTAACATCACCTTTGATATTAATGAGGCTCTTATTAGCTTTATGAAGGAACTTATTTATTTATATAAATAAATAAATAAATAACTGTCACATAAGTAACAGTTTCAAGTTTTTGAATAATTGATTAAATAATATGTATTACATTTTTTTGTTTAAATATTAAAAGCTTATTTTTAATTGAGATTTTGAAAAAAAGTAAAAAGTTTTATGTTTTAAAATTCCTAAGAAATGTACTCATGTTTTCCATTCATAAATGAGTTTCTCCTGTAAGTGCTATGTATAATTTAAAAATTGTGTAAAAATTTATTTTTCCTCTTTTTTTTTTTTTTTTTTTTTTTTTTTCTTTAGGTGAAATATGAGTTTTTCAATTCCATGTGTGTGCTCAAGAGGATATTTATTTCATCTGATTTAAAAATTTAAGGATCAGCTATGTTGGAATTTCCTTCTGTGTGGGTTGACAACAGCCCTGATTCTCTGTTTGATATTACTATCAGGTACTGTATTAAAAATCCTATCACTTTCTGTCGGTATTTACCATGGCCTGCAGAGTACCAGCTGCATGAAGGTTTATCTTTACCAGAAGAGATATGTGAACGGATGCTACTGTTAAGTAAAACTGAATTAAATGAGGAAAGTTTTAAAAAATTTATTAGAATATTTAAAGATAATAATAGGACTAGAATACGTCGGGTTGACCTCAGTGATTCGGGCATCGAAGATATCAGCATGGAAATTGTTGGTGAACATCCAGTTTCTGAACTGAATATTTCTGACTGTCATAGACTGTCAAGATTATCTTTGAATTATATAGCTAAACTGAAAGATAGTTTAATCTCTTTGAATATAGGTTCTAGCATTCAGATACTAAATGATGAAGACTTATCTCAGATTCCAGGAGATGAAGATGATCATTTAATACATCGTTACATGGGAGGATTATTCCATCAGCAGGTGGGAGAAGCTATATTAACAGGAGGTGATCATCATGATTTTCCACCATTTTTAGAATTGCCTCGGCTGCGCAAACTCGCAATTCACGGTCTGGCTGATGCCAGAGGAAATTTCTGTTTTAAGCAACTGTTGAACAGTACTGAGAATTTGACTCATGTTGATCTTACAGGCTGTAGTGTCAGTAATTTAGATTACCTGTTCTGTCAGAAATACCTTGTTTCTCTAGTGCTTTGTGATGTTGTCGATGTGGTGGATTGCATACGTGGAATTTGTGAGATTAAATCTCTTAGGTAAATATTTTTTTAATCACTGTCATAATATTATTAGTAATTGCATTATTAATTAATTTATATTATAATTCTCTCTCTGCCTTTAAAGACAACAGTTATTAAAAATGAAAGGTAAAAAGACTGAACTGTAAATTCATGCATTAAATTTCTGTTGAGAAATTGTGTATTATGCTATACTAAATTTTAGCAGCCTTAAGAAAATATTTTTGATAAGCATAAGTTGTCTGATACTGATTATATAATGCTAATTGGATTGGATAGGGTTACAAATATGTATGCATTATTCATTGTTAAACATTAAGCTAGTCCATTTTGTTTTCAATGATTTTTTTTTTTTTTTTTTTTTTTTTTTTTTGTGTGTGTGTGTGTGATTTTAGTTTATTTCTTATAACAACTACGTAGTGTAATTTGAATTAAAATATATTGTTATTTGAAGGTGTACGGTCATTTACATATTTAAGCAAAAGTGTCAGTAATATATTTTGGTTCTGTCATGCTGATGAAAAATTTGCCAATTGTTGTTATTTGTCAGTTTTCTCTTTCTGATTATTTCATATAGATTTTGTGTGAAGTTATGTTACTGAGCAATGAAATGCAATGGTGGCAGAATTTCAATGTCAATTACATATAATTCAATTCAGAATTTCAATGTCAATTACATATAATTACAATTATATGTAATGTCAATTACATATAATTGTATGTTTAATGATAATTAGATTTCAAAGAAAGCACGAAAAGTGTAAAATGTTTTTTTTTTTTTCTTTGTTTCAGTTATACTAACTTTATTTGGGAGAGGAAACTAACTAAATTATATCGGTACCATTCGGTTTTGAGGGCCATAAAAAATTCCCAAACTATTGTTGATGCCAGTGCTGCCAAAAATAATTGCGGCAACCTTAACGTAAGAAAGGAAGTATAATACAGGGTTCGTACGGTCCTTAAAAGTCCTTAGATATTTTAGAATTGATTTTTGGTCCTTAAAAGTCCTTAATTTTGGCCAAAATCAGCAGAAGGTCTGTAATTTTAATCATCTGAAATTTCTGTTGCCATTTTGAGTGTGAATTAGCATTTTGGAGGAATATTTTTAGAGATTCACTGACGTATATGGTTAGGTTATCTTTTTAATGGGTTTGTTTCTATTTCTAATATAAATGATGGGATACTTGAGTTTCTAAGCAAGAACTGAAACATAAGAATTTCAAAATTCATTTTTTTTTCTAATAAAGAGCTCTTAAAAACAACTTTTCACTTTTGGGGATGTGAATTCTTTTATTAATCAGTTCTAAATTTGGCGACTTATCAATATTTGGGCGATTTTAAGATCAGTTTCTATAGAAAATTTTTAATTCCGAGATCTGAGAATTTTTTGACAATTTTTCTTAAAACATCGTAACATTGATAAATTTCATTAAAATAATGGTAATATATTGAAATTATATTAAAATAAAACATTTTTATTTTTCTCTGTCATATTAAAAAGTTTTACTTTGGCAACTTATTATACAATATTTTGAATCAGAAAATAAACAAGGTATGATGCTATAAAGCACAATTTATGAAACAGCTCTTAGTAAAAGCAAAATTAGCTATGTAATTAACTAAAAATGTTTTCTTTTTAATTTTTTCATAGTAAGTGCTTTTCCAATGTAATTGTCTCAGAATGTTCAAAATTCTCAGAATATGCATCAGTTTCTCTATAAAATTAATTTTACACTTTTTCCCTCTCCCACCCCCTTCAAATATTTCTGGCTTTTTGCTGTTACAGAATTGGTAGGGATAATTTTTCTTTAGGATTTTAGACTTTGCAGCTTGGAAAGTTTAGTAGGATTTGAAGGCAAGGTTATTAGACACACGATTCTAGAAGATTCAAGAAATATGTGACAAAATGAAAAATGTCTCCATGGTATCAACACATAATGGATGTATTTTACAGAAAGTTTTTGATGAATTTCTTACTTTTTGGAGAACGTCTGGAAGAACAATGAAAACATAATATTTGAATGTTTTACTTCTGATACTAGAATCTTTTTCTTAACATGTTTATCTTCCTTTTGTTCCTTATGTTCTAAATTTGTTTTAAATAAGAGGCTTATTTAAACCTTTGTCTGATATTGTAATTACTTTCAGCCATAGCGATAATTTGCTTCATGTCTGTCGGGGGGGGGGATTTGGACTATTTAACTTTTACCAGATTAAGTAAACCCTCATAGGTAGGTACATTGTGGAGAGGTTGACAAGTTAGGAGATAAAGCATGCAAAAACTAGCGAGACCAGTGGCTTTCATATTGAGACAAATCTCTAATTGTCAGAAAAGATGCGTAAAGAGAATTAAATCGATATAAACTAGCCAAATTGTTTGGGAAGGCTTCAAATTAAAATGAGTAAATATTTTGTTCAGTGTTTTTGTTACGAAACATAAATGTTTTGTAGCTTTTAATGTGTAATTATCCTAATATAGTTTAAGAATTAATGTCATAAATTACATGTATTTTAAACTGCGAAATTTTATTAGTTTTTGATTTTAATAGGGCTTTTTTTAACAAATATTGTTAAAAAATAAAGTTTAATAGTGGCCATGTAAATCCATAATGACTAAGGTTATCTAACTACCTAATTTAATTATTTATAACTAACTTTACATATTAAAAATTATCTTTACATATTAAAGCGAGTTATTGCATTTCATTAATATTCAACTGTCGTCACAAGATAAACCATAAAAATGTAAAATTTCAAGTAAAACTTATTCTTTGCATTTATTGAGATTTAAAATAATACAAAACAACTTATCACCTCTGATGCTTTAATGGCTAATTAGAACCTTAAAGTATATTATCTGGGTTACAAGCCCTGGAACTCAACACGAAGCTACGACACTAACGGCATCAAACAGAGCCTGAATAACTCAACACTTGCCAACCGTGCCTACATCAGGCCTTTCAGGTTTGTTCTAATCAGCAGGTTTCTCTAGACAAGCAGCAGCGGTGATAAAAATTCAGTCTTTTGTTATGAATCGTGCTGATTATGATCTGCTCATTTTAACCTATGACGTTTGACATAAAATATACCTGCTATTTACTAAACCTGTAGACTGACCAAGTATGTGACAAAATGAGATATTAAAAAAATTAACATAAAGCTAAGTGTTAGTAAAATGTAAATGTCACTTATCTTCTTTCAAAAATGTCCAACTATTATAAGTGTAAAATATTGATTGATGTTTTAATTTAGATGAAAAGTTAATTTCATATAATACTTTTTTATTATAATTTATATAAAAAGGCTAAATATGACTGAATGGAAGCATAAGAGTAAATAACTATTTGAGATCATTATTATAATTTATATAAAAATTGGTAAACATAACTGAATGGATGCCTGCATTGCTATTTCGCTACCGAGTTATCACTAAAGCATAACTTCATTTCATTAGCTGTTCAAACATAATTTTCTATAATGAATGATGCCTTTTCTTTGAAAGAATTCTCGGTAAAGTGCAGAATCTCCCATTTATTTGTTTGCCACTTTTTACAAGGGTAAAAACAATTGGATTTTTGTCAATTTTCTTTTACTTTATGAAGTGAAAATAGGTCAATGTGTACATAGATAAAGTCAAGAGTGTGCACAGTGCCATTTTTGTGCAACTCTGGGATTTTTTTTAAGTGAGAATAGGTCGATGTGTACATGGATACCAAGTATGTGCAATTCTTAAAAATGCTTCAAGCTTTGGGTGATTCTGCACTTTACTCAAAATTCTACTGCACACTTTTTGTCATGAGCAATTCCCAAATTGTTAAATCCACAGGATATCAAAAAAGAATTTAAAATCAAAAAGGGCTTTAAAAATTAAACTAGTATTTCAATGGTGTCTGAAGAAATATAGAGCTATATAAACTTACGCAATCTGAAATTGGCGCGTACGCATGATTTGGCGCGCTGTTAAATGGGCGCGTTTGCTAGATTTGGCACTTTTGCACATACATTTTCGCTGCAATTTTTTTACGGTCCTCGAAACGTAATAGTACCATTATATCATATTGTTTTACATATAGTGTTTAAGGGGAAAGTGCAGAATCACCCAATGCGTGGTGCGTTTTTAAGAATTGCGCATACTTGGTATCCATGTACACATCAATCTATTTTCGCTTAAAAAAAATATCCCAGAATTGTACAAAAATGGCATTGCGCACTCCCTTGACTTTGCCTATATACACATCGACTTATTTTCACTTAAAAAGTAAAAGAAAATTGACAAAAATCCAATTCTTCTTACTCTTGTAAAAACTAATAAGTGGGCGATTGTGCGCTTTACCTGTTTAATAAAGTATTAGTATTCATAGGAATATTGAAGAAAATGATAATAACTATTATATTCAGTTTATTTTATTTTCTTAATTATGTCCACAGTGAAAATGTCTGTACTAACAGTTATGCTTATAATTTCTTTAAAATGTTTTTTGCGTGCCAAGTAGTAATTTTTTTAAGTATTATAGTTTTTCGTAATATTAAAAATTAAATTTAAGGCCATATAATGTTTCTGGGAACATTCCAGGAAGCATTTTAATTATTGGGAATCACAAATCAATAAAAACATATTGGAATTGAGGTTTAGCAATGAAAAGCCTGGTACTTTATGTCTATCTGTACCATGACTGAAAAGCTGCATATACATTTCTGACTTTGGAGAACATTTGCACTGCTGGCATTTTTTCACTAAACTAACACATGAAAGGCAACAGCCTTTTCTAGAATGATGGTGCGATAAAAATTCTTTATAATAATTCAGTAAAACTAAAAAAGTGAAAAATATCAATAATGAAGCATTTACTTTTTTTTGTGTGTGCTGTTTTTCTCTTTCTGTACACTGTGATCTATTTTCATTTAAAACATTAGACCATTACACAAATTTGGCATCAGCGCAGCTTCAGTATTGCACACCAGCCAAGAAAGACATGCTGTGAATATACCTGGCTTGCCATATAAATAATTTTTGGAGACATTGTGGTTTACCACATAAGTATACTGGCAACATACTGTTTTGTCTTGACTTTTCGATAGGGGTGTGAATAGTTGGAAAATATCAAGTAATGATAGAAATATACAATCACTTTTTTTTTTTTTTTTTTTTTAACTGAGTCTGCAATTTAGATAAATACCTTGATTTTAACAAATTAAGGGATAATTTGAAAAATTATAACAAAACTGCAGAAAAGATTTTGATGAAATTATGAAATACATTTTCAGTTCTATATTGTCATTAAAATATTTTATATGAGGAACATGTTTTTTTTTTGGGGGGGGATGTATGAAGGATGTTAGACTATGACTTATGAAATCAGTCAACGACCTTCAAACTTCTGATACCTCCCCTGTATGGGAAATTTAGCTTTCTGCTTTAAAAACGTTCTATCTGTTCATAAATTATTCACAGGACCCAGAACATATATTTCTGATAATTTTGATGGGTCTGTTTTTTATTGCATTATTGATCTGACTTGCATGTCAGTGAGTGTAATAGACAATATTAACTGTAGTTTCTTTAAATTAGTTACGAGCATGTTATCTGGTTTAGAAATTCATGTCTATTGCATGGATGCTCTCATTTTGGTCAGGTATTTACAAAAGTGTATTGTATTTACAAAAGGACATAAATCAGAGACCTGGATGTAATCTCTGTATTTATGAACACTGAATTTCCCATTTTATAATGTATATGGTTTGTGGATGTGCTTTTAAATGTGCCATCTCAGACTTTTTTTTAAACCAACATAGGGCATTTGCCTTTGGGACATTGACCACTCCTAAAGCTGGAAGTGATGGCCATTTTATTGTGGAGGCAACTAATTGGTGGCCTCTATTGCCTCCCATGAAGGGATGGACAGTTACAACCACTTCTTCACCGGAATTCGAACCCGGGCCTTTTGGTATCGCAATCAGCTCTCCTAACTACTATACCATCTAGGTGGCCCATCTCAAATATATATGTGGAAATTTCATTGCTGTTATCTTTAATGATTGTTGGAGTGTAACAGCTATTTGTTTTCTCATTTTCAAGTAACGTACGTCTCTTTTGTATGTGGCATTTGGCTTCGTGTGAAGAATATCAGTTCAGTTTCCATGCTTACCTGCTCAATCCCATTCACGTTTTACCTGAAATAATGGCTATATAAAAGGTAGGATGGATATCTCTTTCTTAAACAAGAATGGATATCTCCTTGGTGACATATATGCAGCAGAAGTTTATGCAGTCAGTGCTTTGCTTAGCCATCATGAGAGAGAAACTGAATCAGAATAAATAAGCTGCTCTATTTTTTTGATTTTATATTCTACCATAGATATAATTCAGGGTTTTTACCTGAATGATCAAAATGCAGAATCCATGCTCAGAAATTAATTCTGTATTATGTGGATTGTAGAATGTTTCAACCAACAGGCAGTGTCTGACAAAATGTGGCATGTGATAAGCTGGCCCGTGACTTTCTGTCTCGGTGATTTTCAGACTTCAGATTATTCCAGATTCAGATTAATGATTGGCAGATATGATCAGTAGCTTCTGAAGAGCAGAATGTGGAAACAAAATGAAATAATCTGTCATCAGACAATTGTTTCCCTGTCTTTTGCTTCTGATATGAAATCAAAATCACTTAAAGCAGTTAACAGGCTGTCTGACGATTTTATTTGACAACATGTATAAAACTTACCATTGCAACCTTTGAAATACCAGGTAAATGGTTAGGTTCATACTTCTAAAGATACATGATGTTATTTATAGTACCTGTAATATGGCATTCATTTGCACAGAAATCTGAATATATAGGCACTAGCTATATTCTGCATTTGAACGGTTTTAACCTTTTCACTTATTTTATAGGTGGTAGTAGCATATGTATTTTTCCATTCATAACATTGGTCGCATATATATGGGTGACTGGCTTTGAAGTTTGGTGATTTCTGATTGCATACTATACTTAAAAATAAAATTTTATTTCACACAATTCTTCTTCCCATTTGCTTTGTTGTAACTTTTACTTTTGTATAAAGACCCTTTATGGAATTTGTATATATCCATTTCTAAGTACAGATTATGTGTAGGAGAAATGTTTACTGATCTTTGATATAACATTTGCATACATCTGTAAATTATACATAATATCACATTTGCATTTAAAGTATCAAAATACAGAATAATTTGTTTTGTGATAATCAACTGATTTTCTAATTTGTGTTAATTTTTAGACATTTAGATCTGTCTCATTCCTGGTGATCACCCATTGTATTATGAAAGTCCTAATGCAACTCTGAAGTGCATAGTTGATAGTCTTGAAAACCTGGTGTCTCTTGATATATCTGGCACAAACCTTGCGGGTGGCAGAACTCAGTTAAGGGATGACAGAAGTGTTAGAGATGACAGGTAAAAATCTTAGTAATAAGATTTGTGCGTGTGTTGATGTACATAGGTTCTGTAAATATATTCTCTGTTATGTAAATATGTAAGAGGCAAAATTAATCTATGAAATAAAAGCATTATTTACTTGTATGTTCAGAAAGGTCCTGGAAAATAATTGTAGGGCATTTCTATTTGAAATATGTGAAAGTATTTCCTAGTAATCTTCAAAATAACATTTATCATACATATTTGTTGCCTGATATTCCTGAAATCACTGAAAAAAAAAAAGTTTCCTTAGATACCTATCATGAACTTGATGCGTTTCTTTGGCAGGGAATACACTAGTGCCTTGTGCCAGCTAAATCATTGGCAAGTTTTATGCATGAGACTTAAATTTCCTGCAGATTGTTTTTAACAGAGGATATACTGAATTCCTAGTTATCCTCATGCATTGTTTCCTAAAAACTGATACTTGGAGGGGGGCTTTTCATTTCTGTAGAATAAATCGATGACTGGTGATTAACTTTCTTGAATGCTATTTGCTTACAACCCATTCATAGTAAATATGGAATATATGGAAATTAAGATTTATCTAAGGCAGGTTTAAATACCCATTAATTATTTCTTCTTAGATCATTTATTTATAATGCTAGCAAGAATGTTTTCCCTTATACAGTACAAAGTCCGAAAACCGGACGTCCATTATCGGGAATGATCTAAAATCCAGACCTCAAAGCCACAAAAATTTTTTTTTTTATTATATGCATGTGCTTTATGCATGTGCATTTGATTTTTCTTTCCATAATAAAACGTGTAGAGATTTTCACTTAAAAATTCAGATTCTTAATTTCACTTAGGCATTAAATAAAATACCTCATTATGGAAAAACAATCATTTAAACATAAGTTTGCAAGATTAATAATTTGACTCTAAGTATCTGCTAAGCACAATCTCAAACCAAAACATTCACCTATTTTATATCCCTGACGCCGACCTGGCGAGCCATTATTTATTATATTTTGCTTTCATCACCGCATGTTTATCAATACATGACAGCTTCAGTAATAACTCATGCTGGGAGGTCTAAACTTTTTTAATATTAGTAAGTGAATAACAAGAGTATGCAACCTTTTATGCTAACATTATGCTTGGCGATGATTATAGATTTTTAAATGCTCTAAGAAATGTTGATGAGGAAAAATTCAACAAAATTTCTTTTCATATGCTAAAAATAGATTTTGTTAATCAAACTCAAAGGCCAAAAGATTACATTTAGTGCTATTTTAATTAAGAATAACTAATATGTTATTTATAATAAACCCAGAAGCAGTGGCAGAATATGTCGGCACCGGACGGCAGAACTTAGAGAAGACGAAATTTTTGGAATTTGGGGAAGCACCGAGCAGCAAATTTACGGGATGAGAAGTTTTTTATGATTTAGGGAAAGCACTAGGATCCAAAGTTTAGGCACGATAAAAATTTAGAACTTAGGAAAATTTATGACCCGTAGAGACTGCACCAGGCGATATCTGCATCAGGCGGTACCAGGCAGTGCACCAGGGGTTTAATGTGTCAATGTATAAATTTTTAACCCTCTGAGTGGCATGGGTTTTCGGATCTGCTTATGAGAACCTGAAATAAAACAGCATTTAATAGCTAAATATGTATAATTACTTATTTAAATGTATGTTTTCATAAACTTTCATTCATTAGCATAATATTTACATCATTAGAAAAAGTATTTTAAATTGTAAAAGCATCATTTAAATTATAAAAATTTAAGTAATGTTTAATTATTAAAATTATATTCAAATTATAATGTATTAAAATTACATTTAAATTATAAAAGCATAAATGATTAAGCAAAATATTTGAAATTATAATCTAATATATACCAGGAGACAAAAATCTTGTGACAAGATAAAGTCAGTCATGACGCTCAGAGGATGGCAGTCAGTCAATGAATTTCAGAAGCAATTCACATTGAAAGAAGTCATGTTTACTTTGACTTTTGCCTTGGAAAGATATGCAGAACATTTTGTAGCCGTCTGTATAAACTGTGACTTAATGATCATGCTCATAGATGATAAGTAGAGTAATGAAGATTATCTTGGTTTAAAACATGCTCAGCATCCATGTCCAAGAGATCTTGGATTTAGTTACACGGTCAAAGAACATTAGTGTTAATAAAGAGAAAGTGCAGACTTGGTTGGATGAAGAGAATTCTGTACTGTCGAACCCTATCAAGATGACAACAAAATAATCATACTAATTCAGAAGTCAAACAACAAAAATCAGCGTTATATTTTCAAAATTTTCACAGGACTAGTTTCGATGGTTTTACAGAACCACCTTCCTCAGCTGCAAAACCGTTAAAACCATCGAAACTAGTCCCGTGAAAATTTTGAAAATATAACATTGATTTTTGTTATTTGACTTCTGAATTAATATTTATTTGGCGTGTTATTATGTCTTAAAATAATCATACTTGAAAAGGAGGAAATTGAGGGGGTGCATGAATATGAGGATTCACAACAAAAAAAACCGAATCAATTATCTGGAAGGTCGTCGTCAAAGGAATGCAAACTTCCATAAGATTTTCAAAGCAAAGTGTCTGCCAGCACATGATGTTATGAAGCTTCATTGTATATATAGCGAATTTTTAAAACTGTGCCGATAGTCTTTTGTCAGGCGGACATACAAATATGGAATCATGCTAAGAAATTCATAACTTTCCTTGTTAATAGATATGGTAATTTTAAAATGTTATTCAGTTTTACCTTTCTGAAATATAAATTCATGTGTATGTGTTTTAATTTGAAATAATTCATATATTTATATCATTTATTTAATAATGCCTGATCGATCAAAAACATGCCTGGTGAATTTTGATTGCTGCAATTTCTACGGGTATCCAATCAGTCATTTCAAATATATATTCAACTATTTAGAAAAACCTCTTATCTGTAATTGTTGAGATCCTATTGCAGTTGGTTAAAAGGGATTCTATTATATTTAACATGTTATTTATAACTATTAATCTGTCCCATCTGTTTTACACGAATAAAAGAGTAAAATAATAATAATAAAAAAAATGTATAAATAGAAATTCAGGTGTGTAATTTTTAAATAAAGTTATAAAAGAGCATTCTTTTCAGTACATTTTGAATATTAAAATCGAAAGCTTATCCAATAAGCAGTACTTTTTGCTGTACTTTTTGAATATTAATATCAAATTATATTTATATATGTTATTATATATATAAATATAATTTTGTATATATATAAAATATAAATATATAAATATAATATAATACAGTCAAAAGTCATTAGACTTCGGCGATTCCGGATTATCGATTTTTCCGGATTATAGATCATCAATTTAAATTTGGTAAGATGGCATGCAGAAATTACAAAATTAAAAATATGAAACCGTAATTTATGAAATAAAGAACAATTATGATCTAAAAGATATCAAAATTTACAAAGACAAAAAGCTTAATATTTATTTGTTTACTTTATTAAACATTTCTTTCAATGTAAATTGTTTAAGTTGCTTCGTTTCATGTGATAATACTTTCTCTTTAATTCTATTAAACAGACATAATTTCTTTTTTAGTTACAAAGTTCCGCTGTTCAAGTCCTATAATTGCTGTGTCGAGAATACCGACTAATTTGTCAATCAAAATTTTTTCGTTTTCAATAACCTCTGTGTCTTTTTCTTTACTATCGGAAGCGAATTATAATGACGATGAACTTGTTTTAAATGATATCAAAGACGGAGTACATCGAGATGAAATACTACATTTAGTAAGGAATTATAAGCCAAATAAAATAAAAACATCTGCTCTGAAGATAAGGATAGTGTTAACAGATCAACTTCCAATTCATTGCGCGCCGGCCGCGGCGTTCCCCCCCCCCCGAGCAGCGTGAAATTGATAAACAGATTTCGGATTTCGAAACATACTTTCGCTTTAGGTCCTTTACATATTAGCAAATATATATCGGAAATTCTATTTGATATAATCGAAAGTTCAAGCTTACTTTTATAAAATTGCTCTAACAGTCTGCAAAAAATAATAAGCCGGATCCAATTCGAAGATTAAGGAACAACGCAATCTGCAACATTAACTGAATTATAGAATTTTAGCTTAGCTTATACAGTCCGTTATACATTAAACGTGCGTGCGTAAAAGTTTTATGTGCATGCACATGCACATTCGCAGCCGTAAATGTCTTACGTGCACATGTAAACGCCTATGCGTATGAGGTCCGGATTATGGATCATTCCGGATTATGGGTGTCCGAATTAACGACTTTTGACTGTATAATATATATATATATGTTTTAGAATACAGTTCATTAAAATTCGTTTGATTTTGGTATTTTTATATTGGTATTAGGTAATTAATTTAACAGAAGAAAATTTATATTTGTTTTAATATTTCAAGGCTGTTAAAATTCAGATAATTTTTATATTATTAATTAAAAATTAAAATAATTTTTAGTATTCCCATTAATGAGAGGACTGAGGTTGACGGTTCTTGCTCAGTTCTTCTATGTATGCTGGTTAAAAGCACCACAGTCATAGTGCTTTAAATCCCTCTTCTAAGAATAGAGTAGGAAATGTGTAAAATAGGGTACCGGGTAGTAAATTTTGCAAAATGTTAGTTGTGGGAGAGAAAGTGGTAAGTAACAGTCATGTGTAATTTCCATTCTCTTAAATTTTCTGCATGGTGTGGTATACACAATTAATTCGATTGTTTTTTGGTCTTTTTTGGAAAATTGCAAGGACCATAAGGACAGTCTTTGAGGATCTTTTGCGGTTTGTGGATCACAGACTGAGAAATATTGATTCAGTCGAATGAAATAAATACACTGCTATATCTTGAAGAAAATATCTTTTCTGTATTGTACTTGAACCCCCTTTTAATAACTTAAAGGAATATAAAAATTAAATGCTGTAAACCCCCCTCCCCCAAAAAAAACATTTTTTACATCTACCAAAGAAGTGACTAATAAATGTAATTTAAAAAAAATCATATTAAGATTTAATTACAATAATTATTATGCCCTGTTATTAAATTTCTCAGTTGCTCTTTAAATCTGGACATCAAGTATGTAGACCTCCAGACCACCAATCAATCAATCAGTCAATCAGTCAATCTGTCAATAAATAAAAGAAAATAAATCAGAAAATGTCCTGCCCTGTACAAAATATAGTAATGCAGAATATAAGATTCAGTAAAATGAAGCAGGTGTTTGAAGCAGAATATAAGATTCAGTAAAATGAAGCAGTGTGATGTTTCTTTGGATTAATTGAGTCTGCATATTGCTTTCAAACTCCTGCTGGTTATGGAGTCCCATTGTAGCTAATAACAATACATTGATTGGTATTGTATTGATTGCTCAGAGTCATACTTTTGGTCCTTGAGTGGTGGTTTGAGGAACAGCATTATACAGTCAAAAGTCGTTAATCCGGACTCGTCGGGACTTCGGCGACTCCGGATTATAGATCATCAGTTTAAATCTGGTAAGATGACATGCAGAAATTACAAAATTAAAAATATGAAACCGTAATTTTATGAAATAAAGAACAATTATGATCTAAAGGGTATCAAAATTTACGAAAAAAGCTTAATATTCATTTGTTTACTTTATTAAACATTTCTTTCAATGTAAGTTGTTTAAGTTGCTTCGTTTCATGTGATAATACTTTCCCTTTAATTCTATTAAACAGACATAATTTCTAGTTTAGTTATAAAGTGCCGCTGTTCAAGTCCTATAATTGCTTTAAATCATATCAAAGACGGAGTACATGACATGAAATACTACATTTAGTAAGGAATTATAAGCCAAATAAAATAAAAACATCTGCCGTGATGATAAGGATAGTGCTGACAGATCAACTTCCAGTTCATTACGCGCTACGACGTTTCCCCCCCGCCGCACAGCAGCGTAAAATTGATAAACAGATTTCGGATTTTGAAACATACTTTCGCTTTGTAAATCCTTTACATATTAGTAAATATATATCGGAAATTCTATTTGACATAATCGAAAGTTCAAGCTTACTTTTATAAAGTTGCTCTAACAGTCTGCAAAAAATAATAAGCCGGATCCAATTCGAAGATTAAGGAACAACGCAATCTGCAACATTAACTGAATTAGATAATTTTAGCTTAGCTTATACCGTCCGTTATATATTAAACGCACATGTGCAAACACATATTTGCAGCCATAAAGGTCTTACGTGCTCGCGTAAATGCCTATGCGCGTGCTTCAAAGTGACGCATGCAGAAAGTTTGTAGCTTCGAGGTCCGGATTATAGATCATTCCGGATTATGGGAGTCCGAATTAACGACTTTTGACTGTACTCTCTAAATTACAGCATGTACAGCTCTAAATTAAAAAATGTGTGCTACCTGTTAATTCTGACACCTGTTACAATCATACTGACTCTGGCATCATTTCTGTTGAGGGGTTAGCATTCTTGTCTGACATAAGCAAAGTTGCAATGTTTCCATATCTACGTGTCATCTTATCCAGAATCGTCAAAGTTTCCATGATTCTGGATTTGACTTTTAATGCATAAAAAATTATTTATTTACTTTTAAAACTACAAATTTACATTTAACTATTTTATTATTTATTAATTTATTAACTTCTGAGTAGAAAAATAATCATTAATTTTGAAAGTATGATGCAGATTGAAGGAAAATTTTATCTATGGTTGCAAAACAAAGGTTCAGTAACCTTTATAAAGAATATCCTGTTTTGCCAAAGACCTAAAGAATGTAAAGCCTTATTATACATTTCTTGGGCAACATTTATACCCAAACAAAACAAATCAATAAAGAACAAAATTTCATTCTCTAAAAGAAAACACAATTATGTAGCTTGAAGATCATATGATTCATTGCTTCTTCAAATTCAAAAATTTCAAAATTTTCATCATGGCATTTGACTTGAATAGAGCTGTTTCTCATAGTTTAGTTAAAGAATTCAAATGTTAGTTAAAGAATCCATTTATATCTTTTGGTTCAATGGTCACTAATATAATATGATGTCTTAAAACTTGCATTTGTGTCCCTGTTCACCTAGAATTGGGTTCACACCTGTCTTACAGAACCTTTGTTTCGAACATGGAAAAAAGTGAGGTTAAAGATAAAAGTGTATTCCTGTATGGATGGAGTGTGGATCCTAACATTCTAAACATGGATGATTTTTTTTGATTATTAAATGTTTAACTTGCAGCAATTCTGGAAAAAATATGAAAAACCCCAAAAAATGTATCAGTTAAAGTTATCCACACAGTTCCTTATATCTTATTTTTATACCTTTGAAGGTTCATTATAATAGTACAGAATAATGTTAAGTGTATAGGAAAATGAATGCAACCAAAAGGTTCATTTGTTGTACCTGGAATTTTGTTATAAGCCAGGTTCAACTGTAAATAAGTGCGTAAGTCTTGAATTGACATTAATTTATGATAAAATAACATAAGATTTTTTTCTCTAAAATAAGTTTTCACTGTTTTTAACATTTTAAATATATGATTTTATGTTCAAAATCTTTTATTTCTGAAGGATTACTTCTGAAATAAGTAGGTCTATCATAACTGCTGAAAATTATTTCAAATTTTTAATGAAAATTTACATACCAAGATCAGATTGTAGTTTCTTTTCATTATGACTTTTATATTCTTCATTTTCTAAAATATTGTTTTTAACTTTTTGAAACTTCTCAATGTTCAATCTAAAGTTTTTAGTTTGATATATATATATACATATTTTAAATTCTGCATCTCGTGTTAAACAAAAAATCTTTCAGTGAACAACCTATGGAGGTGCCTGTAACAGATATACCAGGCTTGGCCAGCCGAGTGAGAAGGCCACTTGAATTTCTAGGACTCTTGAACACTGCGCATGATGCATGTTATCGCCATCATATACCTGCAAAAAGGGTAAAAATTCATCTTTGCATTTTACCATAAAATTCTTTCATTATATTTCACCATTAAAGTTCTTTCAAGTTTTTCTGTTATTTTTATGTTGAACAGTTTGAAGAGTAAGAAAGAGTAAGTAAAAATAAATTAAATTCAGGTTATTTAAAATTTTTTGTAGTAAATATAAAATAAATTTTACATAATATAGCATTTATTAAATGAACTGGAAATATCCATACATTTTGAAGGCAAAGTTTGGAGGACCTGATATGTGCATATATTTCATATTTCAGGAGATTTTAAAAAATACATGCATAACATGCCATTCCAACATAAAAGTTTAAAGGTGAAAATAAATACACATGACAATAAATTGCTCCTATATAATTTTTGATAGACACTAATGCAAATGAATTTGAAATTGCTTTTTTTATACAAACTTTGAAAAAATTAAAGAAGCCATCTATATTGGATCCTCAAAGTATATAACAACTTGTCTTCAAATACAGTTAAAATTTAATTATTTTTTAGCTGCCAACTTTCACAGTTTTTAGTCACTTCTCCCCAACTACCCAGTCTCCCGGTTTTTAATTTTTAGGCTTAACTGATAAAAGTGTTTATCAGCAATAAATAAAATTTATTGAATCAATGAAATGAAATCTGAAAATTTTATCTCCCTCTTCATTTGTGATTTTCAATATAATGTTTCTTATTAAATTTTATTTGATCTAACGTTTTTAATGTAAAGAGATTTGAAAAATGATCTGAAGAACCTTTTTATGAAGGTTCAACCAATGTTTAATCAGTTAATAGATGTATTTTAATTTTGTTTTACATCAATATGTGGTATGTCATCAAGTTGATCCACACAACAGTGTATACATTAATTGTTAATTTTCATCATATGTAAAGGCACTTTGATAAATTAAAGCTTTCCTTCTCTACCTGGGAATTTTCTCACTATAAAAGTGTATAATTGTAAAAAAAAATTAGCCAGAGAACATAAATTTAGAATATCAAAAATCATTCCCAATTCTTTATATTTCAAAATTCTCAGCTATGTTTTATGTTACTAAAATGCATAGTAAAGTTTTATATATTTAAAAGATTGTCATTAAAGCATTTTTTGAAGTTTTAATGATTGATATGCACTCAGAAGTGCACTTTATAAGGTCAGGTCTTAATATGCTGTATAAGAAAGAAAATAGTTTTAAATAATATCCTGTTTGTAAGAAAATTAAAATAGTTTGTTTATTGAAATAACATTTAAAAGCTAGCTTATCATACAATTTTGGTAAACACTTTTATCTTTGTTGCTAATATTTTAGTGATGATTTAAGTATTTAACTATATAATTTTGGATCTGTTAGGTAAGTTTGTGCAATTTTTGTTAGGTTCTGATATAACTAAATATCTGGGACTGATATAAGCAAAAATTTGGTGTTGACATTAGCAGATGTCTACTGCTAGAGATGATGATATAAGCAGCTGTCTGAGTGCTGAAGAGCTCAAAATTGAGTTGAAAATTACTTATAAAAAAAAAGAGCCAGTAAATTTTTCTAAGGCAGATGGTTACTTCTGCCACTGAATGCTATATGAGTTTCTTGGATTAAAAAAGTTTAAATTTTAGTCTTGATCTGTAGTTTTGTTGAAACCATGTCTTCTTTTGTTTTGATGCTTAATGTTGCTCCAGTACTAATTAATTTCATTTTTTTTTTAAAAATTTGATTAATTGTAAATTGTAGGAAATTATTCCATATAAATTATTTACAGATCACTATGCGTAAGGTTTTTGATATTTCATAACTATTCAGTCTTTGTGATTGTTCATTGCTATTTTGTATTGGAAGGGGGGAAAAATTGCTCTTAAAAAAAAAAAAAAAAAAAAAAAAAAAAAGTCTTTCTCCTAAATTTCAATCTTTCTTTTCTTTTTTTAAAGGGTTATTTTAGTCATATTACAGTGACTTATTTTATTTTTATTTCCTGAATTAATAATTTCTACAAATCAGGATTTATCTATGATGTCATATGATATTGCCATTTTGTTATTTGGTTACTCTGTAATTTTGTCTTGAAAAAGTTAAAATTGCCTAAAAAAATCCAAGAAATAATAAAAACATGGTATATGTACAAAAAGTATTAATTGTTTCCAAAAACAGGCTTAAACATTTCTTAGAATTACAAATTTTCAGATTTAATGTCATTTGAAAGACCTGATTCACTTACCATTCTGATTGATAAGTGAACTGAATACCTTTAAAAACAGTAACTTCATGTAAAATAATTCAGATGTAAAAAGAATTTGTATTGGAAGTACACTGCTGCATTCAAATTACAACACCAGGAAGGAGTGATCTGGTGGATGTCAAAATTACATGAAAGGAAGAAGAGGTTGGGATATGCTAATGATTAGTATTTCAGCGCATTTAGATGATGCAGGAGGAAGAAACGAGATCTGAAGCACTGCATAAAATAAAATTTATGTAGTGGATTTCTCATTCAAAAAGAACTTTGTAACATCGGAGTTTGCTCAGAATATCATGTTATGCCTCGAATAAGAAAAAGAAAGGCTTACCAGCAACTGTTGGAATTTGACAGAGGCAGGATCGTTGCCTATCGAGAGTGTGGATTATCATTCCGTGATATTGCCTATCACTTTGGTCGACATCCAACCATTGACATGTGAATAGGGAATCAGTGGGTTGCTGAGGGTCCATACTGAATGGCATGCAGGATCTCAATGCTCTCTCATGACTAACACCCATGAGGACAGCTCTCTCTGACTTAAAACTACCATCACTTCACGGGCCTAACCTGTCATCTTTAACAAATCCCTCTCACCAGCGGGACCTAATCCAGCCTCTTTCAGTCGGCATTTAAATCCGTGCTGCTAACATAATTTTGCTCCTTCATTTACCAAGACCTCTCCTTTACATCACACATGGTCCAGACTTGAGTTTTTAATTGTTGGGGGAAAATTATTTCTTTATCTTAATTTTTAACTAATTCCTCAAATCAGATAATTCGTAATTCTTCAATTAAAATTTAACTTATTTAATTCTAAATAGTGTAATCTCATCTTAGCATCTCTCATTTGAAGTTAACTTTTAAAGCTAAGCTTTAATTTAAATTTTTATCTCCCACACCTTAAATATCCTTGGTCTGAGAGGACAGACATATTGTGAGGTCAGCCCTGTAAAACTGTACAACGACATCCGGACCATTAGTCACAAAATGAGCATGTTTGCAGTACGCCCAGTATCTACTTGTATGTTGCATCGACGTTTGCAGCAGCGTGGACCGTCAGCACGGTGACCCTTCAGCTTCCCTTGACAATGCAGCATAGAGAGAGACAGCGACTGTGGTGTGCCAAATGACAGAGCTGGTTACAGGAGTGGCACAATGTCATCTTTCCAGACGAGTCCCGGTAGCGGTGGCAGCTGTTTCGACTAATCTCGCACCCCTGTAACGCCCTTTCCAAACTGCTTATAAATTTAATTATTTTGTCTTCATGTCGTACTGTTTATGTACATTAAATATCTTATTTGTATTTGCTTTCATTCATGGTGTTGCAATTTTAATGGCCAGCAATGTAGTTAAATAATGTATCACATTTTTAGACCTGTATAGCAGTAAAAATTCAAATTAAGCATAAATATAAAAATTAATCAGAAAAGAATTTTTTATTTTTATTTCTGTATTAATGGATTTTAGTATGTGCAAAATATTTTATATTATTGCATATAAGCTAACAGTCTATAAAGATCAGTATCATTTTGTAAGCTGTAAAATGGTGTGAATATTTTGGGGAAATTTCTGCTGATGTCCCACTTAGAGGCTGAATCGGTAATATTTTTTAATACTGTTAGCAGTTGGTTCAAGATTTTCAGATGAATGATCTGATTACATGGATGTTTTTGTGTCCATATGTGTAATATGCATACAATGTATTCATTTACCTTTTAAAAATCTTCCATAAGGCATTTCTTTTAGACACATAGCCTGAGTGTGCTTTGCTATTATCTAATAAAGCATGCATTCTCCAGTAAAATTGCTTTTTAAATACCTTTTATACTCTTAAATGGAAGAGGAAATAATTAAATAAATATATATATACTTTTTACAAAAATCTCAGCAATAGGTTTTCTCTAAATTGAATATAATCATGCTGTGTAAGCTAAATCCATCAGTACATTCCACATATGCACAATTAGATACATAATGGCGGGTGCTGGGATAAAATTAACTAGTTATATTTAATTCTGTTTTTTTTTTAAAAAGTTCATTTTGTGAATTGTGCATTATTAAATATTAAGGAATATTCACCATATGTACATATAACGGTGCTTGCTATTGCAAACTCTGTCATATAATTAGTGTCAGATTGAAAGCATAAGTGAAGTTTTTAAATTAAGCTATACAATCTCTAGAAAAATTTAATTATTTTATAAATTTCAGATAGCTGGTGATGCAACAGAAGAACAGATTTTAACTGCAGGCCAGATGTATTGTGCACGGGAATATATGATCCAGAAAGTATTAAATGATCTGTTTCACATTTTCCGGTTTTCTACATGTAACAATACTAGACTGGCATTGGATGTTATAATGGAAGCTATGCGAATTCATCTAAAAGTGAAACATATTCAAGTATCTGGAAGGTGAGTTATTTTTAATTTAAAATGCCTATGCTTTGGTTCACAGTTATATTATGCCAGAGGCTCACAATCTTATTCTTACTAAGGTCATGATAAGAAGTTTAGGAATCATCGAGGTCATATAGTTTAATTTCTTTTTTTTTGGGGGGGGAGGGACCAGAATTACTTATTTAATTTTCTAATTACCATGTTGTAATACCAAATAAGTAAAATAGTCATGTTTTGAAATATAGAAATCTATACAAAATAAAGACTGCCGATGCTGGCTATAACTTAAAAAAGTTAAAAGAACATACATAAAATAATGCAAAATCAAATTACAAATATTTGTTATTATTCACTTTCTATAATTTGCACATGTTGAATATCAAAGTTTGTGTGGGTTAGTCAATTTTGTAGATTACAGGCTTTAAACTTATTTGACTTTTGTTAACACTTTTCCCTTGATAATTTTTGTGTTAAATTTTGACTGTTAGTTTTTAAATAATTACTGAAATCATACTTTGGGAAGAATTATTTATTTAGGATCTATTGAATTAGGTGAAGAAAAAAGTGTATTTAAATGCAAAGAGAAGTCAGTGTTTGAGAAAAATATTGTTGGGAGAGAAGAGGCTTAATTATTGGCAATTTTTTTGAAGAAAACTCTTTTCTAAAAGTGCATGGGACTGTTTTATTAAAAAAAAAGTGTGTATCTTCCATCAAAATTGCATTTTAAATACCTTTTGTTCTCTTAAATTGAAGAAAGAATAGATGTATATACTGTATATAAAAGGCTGCGCGATAGGTTTTTCGCTAAAATGAATATAATCATGCTATCTATTCTAAATTCATCCATACATTCCTCATATGTACTGTTGGATTCATAATACCACTAGCTTTGTAGAAGTGCTAGAATTGAAATTTTGAATTTATTAAAACAATTTTTTTGTAGCATTTCAATTTTTACCACTAGATACATTTTTATAAAGGCTTAAAAAGGAATGTTTCTTAAGATAAGAATTTATAGTTAAGTAAACAATTATATTTGTTGCATGGACGGTAAACCAGCCATCTATGAGGTGAATTTTTCTTTAAAACTCAGTATGTCAATTGTGGATAAATAAGTTTTTTATGTCTTTTAACCCCATAGTCTCAAAATTAATAATACAGTAGAATACAAACTCAGTAATTGATTTATCTATAATAAAAAATTTGCAAATTCATGAACTGTGATAGACAGTTTTAAACAACTTCAATAATCATATAAAGTACAGTCAAAAGTCGTTAATCCGGACTCGTTGGGACTTCGGCGATTCCGGATTATCGATTTTTCCGGATTATAGATCATCGTTTAATATCTGGTAAGATGCATGCAGAATTATAAAATTTAAAAAATATGAACCGTAATTTAGGAAATAAAGAACAGTTATGATCTAAAGGGTATCAAATTTACAAAAAAAAAAAAAAAAAAAAAGCTTATATTTATTTGCTTACTTTTAAACATTTTTCAATGTAAGTTTAAGTTGCTTCGTTTATGTGATAATACTTTCTCTTTATTGTATAAACAGACATAATTTCTTGTTCAGCTACAAAGTTTCGATGTTGAAGTCCTAATTGCTGTGTCGAGAATGCCGACATTTGTCATCGATTTTTTTCTTTAAAACCTCTGTGTCACTTTCTTCACTATCGGAAGCGAATTATAATGAGGAATGTGATTTAAATCATATCAAAACAGAGTACATCGAGATTAAATTACATTTAGTAAGAATTATAAGCCAAAAAAATAAAAACCTCTCTTGAAGATAGGATGCTGGCAGATCAACTTCCAATTCATTGCCCCCCCCCCACAGAGCAGCATGAAATTGATAAAACAGATTTCGGAATGGTAGATAACAAAGGATTATGCCTTTATCCATTTTTGCAGCAATTCCACTTTTGTTTAATGGACTTCGAAACATACTTCGCTTTGTAGATCCTTACATCTTAGTAAAATATATCGGAAATTCTATTTGACATAATCGAAAGTTCAAGCTTACTTTTATAAAATTGCTCTAACAGTCTGCAACAAATAATAAGCCTGATCCAATTCGAAGATTAAGGAACAATGCAATCTGCAACATTAACTGAATTAGATAATTTTAGCTTAGCTTATACCGTCCATTATACATTAAACGCGCATGCGTAAACGTATTATGCGCATGCGCACAAGCATATTCGCAGCCATAAAGGTGTTACGCGCGTGCATTAAAGAGACGCATGCGCAGAAAGTTTGTAGCTTTGAGGTCCGGATTATGGGTGTCTGAATTAACGAATTTTGACTGTACCTTTTTTAATGAAGTACATTAAAAATATTGTGTGTTTTTATTAAAAAGTTTTATTTATATATTAGACAAAATCACCATTAAATTTACTATGCTGAATATTTTGAAATTCAAAATTTGTTTGTTTACAACCAAAAGTGAGTGTGAATATTGATATTCTACTGCAGATGCAGGGATTAAATGCTAAATACAAAATTTGACTTTCAAATTAGCCGTGATTGTGTACATAATTGGAATTACTGGCTTCAGTCTCAAAAAGGGGTAGCAATTTTGAAAGATTGGTGGTGAGCTTTTGTGTTGAGAATCATCATAATTCATTGATAGCATACCTCAATGGATATTTGATGTCATTCAGGCAGAGCACGGCCAGTTAAGCATTAACTGGCAGAATAAAATTATTTTTCATAAAATTCCTTGGTCTCTGAACAATATGCTAATATTGTATGTCATTACATATAGTTATACTTTATATAAAGTTTGCTTTATATTTACTTGTAATTTATGAATTCTTTTTCTGTTTCAGTGCTTCATTATTTTATGTTGTGAAAAATGAAGGTAAAGATTTTTTCAACATAAAAATGCGAAGGTAGGTATTGGCATGCATGATCTAAATTGCTTGTATGATTATTAGGTATTTATGTAGTTAATTATTATCCGAATTGACATCAATTTTAGTTGGAAAAATTCATCATTGGGCCTTTGCAGATTCTTGCAAAATCCTTTCCGTCCCTTCCAGTCACATTTCAGAGCTGATAGTTTGCGACTCAAAACAACCATAGCTCTTATTTTTACTTGCTTATGTTAACCCCATCTCCCCCAAAAAAATCTGATAGAAAGCCATAATATTTACTTAAGTTATTCTTAATCTAGTTCATATAATAATAATATATAGCATTTTAATTTAGTTTTATAGTTTCAAAAGTATAAATTTCAAAGCAGTAAATAATACTTTATCACTTTGAATACTTCATCTACATGCACCATACTACACTATATCACTTTGAAAGTGATAATGCTCTATTATTTTGAGTATTCTTTCTAGCATTTTTAGTGTATTGTTTAGAAATCTGATTTTTTTCCCTCATAATTTTATTCAGTAATTTATGAGGTTGATATTTGTTTCAAAAGTTTCGAAGGGCTTAATCGATTCATTCTTCTTAAGAATTCCAGGCAGGGCCATTAATTTTTCCTTTCTATAGAGATAAAAAGGGGAATAGAGTATTCAGAGTATACAAGATAGGTAGCGTAGTCTCCAGGTCTAAGATTCTTTTCAAATTGTTTATCAATGAGTTCTGCCTTAATAGTAATCCGCAGTATTCATGAATAAGTGAGCTGCGTATGGAGCTTGATTCACACATGGAATAAAACATTTATTTGAAATGAATATTATTCCTGCCATTACAGGCCGGTAATTTTTTCTCACTTATCAAAGCATAATCAAACATTCTTTGGACATAGCACCATCTAATTCTGTACACATTCCCTTCTCCACCCCCCCCCGGAATGAACTAGTCTCATCAGAACTCAAATTTTTATACTTTATACTAAGGCTGTTTGCACATTTTGTAGACGATTTTCATTGTATTCATAGAAATATTTTACCTAAATTTTTTGTGTTTAAATGTTCCATTTGATAACCCTTATATTCATCACTATCTTTCTACATCATAATTTCCAAGACAATAAAGCTTTTTTTAGTAACAGAAGAGGTGTTTTATCTCTTTCCTCGTGAACAGTTTTCTGAAGTCCAAGGAGGGACATCAACTTTTTAAAAGTCCAAAAGTGCAAAAATCTGGGTATCAAAATCAGAAGATCTAGCAGAAATCATAAGATCCAGCAGGAATATGAATGAAGGATATGGTCTTGATACCCATTTCTTGATCCATTTTTTCCCAGGAAATTTTTTGTCTCGATGTAGTTCTAACTGATTGATGGCACTGTGGGCAAAGAGAAGGTATGTCATATTTGAAAACTGGGCCTAAAATATGTTCCTGATAATATGTGGAATTAATCTTAACAATTTTCTGCACTTTTTAAAATTTTTATTTCTTGTCATATCAAAAATCAGCAACAAAGATAAATCCCTTTGAAAAAACTTTCTTTAGATTCTTTGAACCATGTTCTAAGCTTTTACTTTTCTTTAATGATAATGAATGGATCTTTTTTTATTACAGTCATTTAAAAATACTCAAGATTCATCTTAATGTGACAACACCTTACCATTTATTACCATCTTAATGTGACAACACCTTACCATTATTAATGTGACAACACCTTGTACTTACAGTTGTCACATTAAGATGAATCTTGAGTATTTTTAAATACTCAAGATTCATCTTAATGTGACAACACCTTACCATTTATGTCCGAATAATTGTTTTTTATAGAGAATTCTGCAGTGCATTTTCCTTCCGATGGTATGTCGTGGAGAAGGATGATGCACGTTATGTTTTCTTGCCTTTTTAAAAATTAATCAGCATTAATCACTCTGTTTATAGTTGACACTGGGTCTTGTAATGATTATGCAAATGTCCTTCTGACTTTGAAGATTTTCTTTTAACTTTAAAGTTCTTACCTTTGCAGCATTTGAAACATTCCCTTTTTTCCCTTGGATATGCATCTTGAACAATTTTCTCCCTTGAAGCCGGACTTCGATGTCCTTTTCCTTTCTTATTGACACTATTATTAGTTGTTGTTCTCGGTACCGAAAAATCAGGCTTTGAGAGCATTTTTCAATAACTAAATATGAATAATTTTCTTCAGAAAGAGCACGAACATAGCTTTCCATCCATTGCTTCTTTAAAAGTGCCATTTTGCATGAAAACAAAATTTCCAAATAGCAGACGATAATTTAAATTAAAAAATATAGTTGCATTAAAAACTATGTGTGTTGCCCAAATGAAAAGTGGACGAGTTGAAGAAAAATAATACCTTTATTTTAAGTCAAAAGACATCACCATAGGCATTGAAACACAGGTCCGAGCATTGCAGCAGCAGCTCGATGCGTTTGCTGTAGAAAGATTGGGGCTGATTCCTGAGGAAATCCTGCATGGCTTCTATCGTCCGAATGGAAAAGTGTCCTCTGTAAGGCTCTCTTAAGTGGTCCAAAGATGTCACAGGGTGACATGTCTGGACTGTATGGGGGGTGCTCCAAAATCTCACAACGGAATGTGTTTAAGGTCCTCTGGATTTCCTGGGAGATGTGTGGGCAGGCATTGTCATGCAGAAGGATCACTCCTTGTGTGAGAAGGTCTGACCGTTTGTTTTTTATTGCTTGTTGCAGTTTTGTCAGAGTATTGCAATATTGTGCGGAATTGATAGTGCTCCCTTGGGGCAGGAACTTGATTAAAAGTGGTCCACGACAATCGAAGAAAAATGAAAGCATCACTTTCCGTGCATTTACCATAGCTTTCAATTTTCGGGGTGGAGGAGATGAGCTGTGTTTCCATTGCATACTCATTTTCTTGGGTTCGGGTGTGTAGTGGTGGCACCAGGTCTCGTGGCCCGCAATGATACTATCCAGAAATGTGGGATTATCCTCATAACAGATCAAGTGCTGGAGACAGAAGCCCATTCGTTGTTTCTGATGATCAAAGGTCAGGTGTTTTGGTACCCATGCTGCACACACTTTGCTGTACCCCAGATATTTGTAGATAATGGTATTAACCGTTCCTTTACTCAGGTTGAGTTCGTGACTGATTTCACGGGTTGTAACCCTTCGATTAGCTTGGATCATTTCATTAACGGAGGCAATGAAATCATTGGTGATCACTTTGTTTGCTTGGACCGGTCTCGGCAGATCCGATGTCATTTGCTGCCCTTCATGGAAACTTTTACACCATTTGTTTACAGCCATACGACCTAAACAGTGGTCGCCCATACACTGTCACCATTTTTCGATAGATGTCTGCATTACGCTCACATTCCGCAACCAGAAACCGTACTACCACACGTTGTTCTGATCTGGATGCATCGATGGATAGCACGCCTTTCCTTTCGCACAATTTAATCTCCTACAAACAGGTTTCACGGTTAAACGCCACCTGAGATGCATACATCATACTGCCTTTTATATACTTGTGCAGTTGCGCTGCTATTGATGCATTCATTCTGACGTTATTGCATGTGTCTACTTTTCATTTGGGCAACCCTTGTATTTTTCATACAGGCGATTTTTTTTTTTTTTTTTTGTTTAGCAAAGCAAAGTTGTCTAAAAAATGTGCAAACAGCCTCTGTAGTATCGCTTGAATAATGTTCATATTCTTACATAAATTTAATAAATTTTAAAACTTGATCTAATGAATAGCAAATTATACAAATCTTTGTTAAATATCTTCAATTAAATTTTGCAAAATAATATTATAAGCACTATGTAACTAAAGGGCCATTCCAACTGGGGTTTATCTGAGCTAACGGAGCCAGTTCCATGTGTCGACTAGCTCCGCTATGGCTGCAGTTCAGATTTTTCAACTTGCTGCCCAATGGGGAAAACTGGTTTTGGAGATGGGTCAGCTGCGTTAGCTGTGTCCATTAGCTCAGATAAACCCCAGTGGGAACGACCCTTTACACATGATACAGTACAAAGTCCGTAATCCGGACTCATCAGGACTTCGGCGATTCCGGATTAGGGGTTTTTCCGGATTATAGATCATCAATTTAAATCTGGTAAGATGGCATGCAGAAGTTATACAATTAAAAATATGAAACCATAATTTATGAAATAAAGAGCAATTATGATCTAAAGGGTATCAAAATTTACAAAAAAAAAAAAAAAAAAAAAAAAAAAAGAGCTTAATATTTATTTGTTTACTTTATTAAACATTTCTTTCAATGTAAGTTGTTTAAGTTGCTTCTTTTTTTTATGCTAATACTTTCTCTTTAATTCTATAAACAGGCATAATTTCTTGTTCAGTTACAAAGTTCCACTGTTCAAGTCCTGTAATTGCTGTGTCGAGAGTACTGATTAACTTGTCAATGGGAATTTTTTCACTTTCAATAACCTCTCTGTCACTTTCTTCACTATCGGAAGCGGTATTTTCTGGATCTAGAACCATACTACAGATTTCGCCATCTGTTAATTGATTGATGATTGGGGCATTGTCGTCGCAATGAAAAAACTTCGGTTATATCATCTTCATTTATCACCGCTTCTCCACATTTCTTTACAAAATCCAATAACTAGAAAATTTCACCTTTACTTTGCAATATCCAAAAACCTTCAAATTCGTGGCTATTATCTTCGTCGTCCTCAGTATGAAATATGGTAACTGGCCATAAATTATGCCAAGCACTTTTTAACGTATCTGGAGACACATCCTCCCACGATCTTGCAGTGCTCCACACAGAAGATTTTATGCTAAAAAATTTTGAATAGTCTTACCATTGTTCAAGAAATTTAACATAGGTTTTAAAAATGCTACTTTATATTTGCATTTCATCGCGGGCATTATTCCCATATATCCATAGGCTGAATGATAGACGTACAATTAGGAGGGAAAAATAATACGAATACATTATCTTTCACTAAAACTGTGAAGTATGCACCGAACAGTTGTCAACAACCAGGACTATTTTTGAGTCATCAGGTAAACAAACCGAATTCAAATGTTGCCGAGCCTCGAGTATAAAATGATTTTCAAACCAATCGTTCATCAACCCTTATGCATCCATGCTTTTTAATTTGCGTGATGTAATATAATGGGAAAATCGTTACTCCTTTAAGTGCTCGAGGTCGTGCATGTTTTCCGATTATGAAAAGTTTGCACTTGTGCGTTCCTGCAATATTTGCGCACGCTAAAATTGTTAGTATTACTTTGAAATTTTTGACACCAGTTGGAGCCTTTTCTGTAGGGGTTGCCAACATATTTCGCAGTACGTATTGCCAGAAAAGACCAGTTTCATCAGCGTTGTAAATTTGTTCTGGAGATAATTGTTCACTAGTAATGAGTTCAATGAATTCATCTGCAAGTTGTTCAGTGGCTTCAGTATCAGCTGAATATTTTTCACCTGAAATTTTTAATTGTCTTATACCTTGATGATTTTTAAATTTGTTTAACCAATCTGTCGAATATGTGCACTCAGTGTTTAATTTCACTTCATGAAATTCATAAAATATTTTGGCTTGAGCCATTAGCATTGGACCCGTCAATGGCACCCCCTCGCTGCAACACTATCTGACACATTCAGTTATCATTTTGTCATGATCGTCACTTTTAGCATAACAAACCCTTTTTCTGTTATTCATTGCAAGTGGAGTCTCGAAATCCACAAAAAATTCAAAATGTTTCTTTTTGCTTATGTCATATACAGTTGACTTTCCAATGTCATACTCCTCACATAATTTTGAGACGGATATGCCTTTATCCATTTTTTTTGCAGCAATTCCACTTTTTGTTTGATAGACATCGAAACATGCTTTTGCTTTGTAGATTCTTTGGCAGCTCCAGAATTGGAAACTCTTTTTGACATAATCGAAAGTTTAAGCATAATTTTTATAAAATTGCTCTAACAGTCTGCAAAAAATAATACGTCGGATCCAATTAGAAGATTAAGGAACAGCGCAATCTGCAACATTAACTGAAATGCCTTAGAACCAGTAAAGATAGTTTTAGCCTAGCTTATACTGTCCATTATACATTAAACGCGCATGCATAAAGTATACAAAAAAAAAAAAAATGTTTGTGGCTTTGAGGTCCGGATTATAGATCATTCCGGATAATGGACTTCCGGATTACGGACTTTGTACTGTACTGAACTGTAATACTCAAATATTCAGTAACAGATTCACAAATAAATTAATATAACAGTGATAATAATTCAGATAAAAGTCTGCTAACTTAACCACAGTTCTTTTGAAGTCGATTCTAAAGCAATTTTGTCCTGTATTTCAGATGGGTACAGGAGTTGGACTCGTCTCCAAATTGTCCATTCTTTAGTTATAATATTATAACTCTTACTTGTCCATCACAGCTGGCGAAAGCTTCAATGATCTTAACCATTTACCAGATGTTTCATGAAAAATATTCATCGCCTATCAACACTAGATCATTAATTTTGAAATTTTGGACTTCTTTCAAGTTCTGCGATATGTGCACTGAGTGTAGGTTCATAAGATATTTACTTCTCCACCTCTACCAGAGTAAATTTAGTAGGTTTTCTCTGCATTTAAAATGTTTTAATAAAATGTCCTTGTTTAAAAAGTCTGAATTGCTCAGTTTTACATAAAATAAATTCGGAACTCTTCTGCCAATTAAGAAATGTGCCGGTGTTAAGGGAAATGGTTCGTCTGGCTTTGTGTAGGTATACATTAAAGGTCACAGAATTTATGACTCCCTCAGTTTCGATCAGAATCATCTCTAATACTTTTGCATTCAGTGAAGATCTTCCAGTTGCTTTCCTCGAACTTGTTTTTAGTTGTCTGACCATCCTTTCATAAAATCCACCCCACTCCTCTTTCAAGGATGTATTTCCATTTATTGGGATGAAAACTATTGCTTTGTATCAGGGTGATTGATGAATGTCAAATTACATTAGAAGATATATTACACTGTAGTAATTCTTGTAATCTAATCCTACATTAAGATTATAGTTCTTATGCTTTGTTATTATGATTTTCATACATTCAGTCCCATGTATTTCAAAATATCTTTTTTTTGGGGGGGGGAACAGAAACAGAAATGTAAGAAAGTACTTTTTGTAACATTTGCCACAGTTACAAAACAAAATCATGCCATTGTACTAGCAATTAGTTTTGCTGAGTTTATTTGCTTATTAAAAATCACAAAAGTAAATTTTTCAAATTTTTTTTTTTTTTTTAAATTTTAAAGTATTATAGACTGTTCATGACTGTGAAGTTAAATTGTTAATGTGTAATTTAATTTAATTTGAATTTTTTCTTTGTAGGAAAATCATAAAAGTTTTATTAGATGCTATGTTCTGCCATTATTCTGATGTTACTGTAAGTCTATTTTCACTATTATTTACAAATTTTATTTAGAAGTTTTATTTACAGATTTTGTTTACATTTAAACGAATTTGTTTATAAATTCCAATTAGTTGTTACCACAATAATGCACATTTGCATTCTAAATTTCACTTTGAATTTTCTAGGAGATAATTTTCCTTTTTTTTTAATTATTAAATTTAATATTATTTTTGCAGCAATAGCACAGGATTTTATTTTTTGATCCTATTAAATAAATTTTAAAATTCACTAATTTTAAAGTTTTTCTTTACTACACTAGTTATCATTAATTAAGGAAAAATCACAAAAATAATGTCTATTCAAAAAGTTACATGTAGAATTTAATGAAACTGACCCACAGTTATACAACACATAGTAAGGTATAAAATAACGTAAAAAAAATTACCAGACAGTTGTGTGTTATAGAAATTAGCATATGTATAAAATGAAAAAAACAGATGTGCTAGTTTGGCATAGGAAAATTACCTTCAATATGGAGTAGGATCTCCCCTAGAAGCAATGGAACACATGCAGCAATGTGCGATGCTGTCAATTATGCAATCTATCGGTTTCTAAGGAAGTGAGAGCCATTGCTCTTGTAAAGCAGTTGTAAGCATGTCAAGGGTCTGAAGAGGAGGATTGAGAGCAGCTATATATCTTTCTAAAGTATTCCTAACATATTCAATAGGTTTCAAGTCCAGTGATCAAGCTGGCCACTCCATGCGCTAAATTGTTTGTTGCTGAAGTTAATCATCCACGATGCGAGCCCTGTGTGTCTAGCATTTTCATCCTGTAGCAGGAAATTATCACCTATTGCACAGGCATTAGGGCACACATAAGCATCAAGGATGTCATCTCTATAGGACTGATTATTCATGGTTCCACGTGGAAAGACATGGAGGTCTGTGCATCTACCCAAGAAGATACCACCACAAACACTGCCTTCTCCATATGCATCTCATTCATGGATGTTTGATAGATGATAATTGGTTCCAGTTTCTCTCCAAATCAAATAATTCCTACTGTTCCTTTGAATGCAAAACCTGGTCTCATCCATAAAGAGAACAGTCTTCTATTGATCAGCTGTCCAGTGGACATGTTGACATGCCCAATTCAAACATTTTCTTCCATGATGCAACGTGAGTGGCACACAAATGGCTGGTCGCCTTGCATACAGACCTCTTTCGTAAAGCCTTCTGTTGATGTTGACACCAATCTTCCCAGTAAGTAAGGGAGGATTGAGTCAGAGTTGAGGTTCTATTCCTTCGTGCGCATAATAACAGATATTGGTCATCATTGCTGGTCATTAGTGGCTGGCCATCCTTTGTTGAACCTTTTGAATGCTGAATATGTGGTTAGATATTGTTGTGAAAGTCTATGAACCACAGAACTCGCATTTAGCCATCTGGCCACTTCTGTCTGAAGTTAATAATCCATGATGTCTTTGTTCTGCCTCTAGTATCCCAATAGCTCTTCATTGGAGTTCTTCCGACAAGTGATACCTGAAGGTCATCATTACAAATTGCTATACCAGATTTATTAGCTCAGTATCACAGCGAAATTAGCTTGCTCTGGAAACATGCAATTTTATGCTCCTTGCAGATGACGTATTTCGATTGCAGCCACTAATTTGCATACTGCAGTTTTACTCAGTAATTCTAATTTGACAGCAGATTGAAATTTTATACAGATTGGTTATTTTTTAATGAATTATTGCTATTTTTGTGATTTTTCTAATTTTTGGAAACCAGTATCTATATATATGGCCTATTTGAAAATTTTTGTACTTTTCCCTTAAAGACTTGATTGGATTTTCTGTAATTGATTAACTTGTGAGTTGCAAAATAAAATGTATTTTAAAGTTTGTTATTTGAATGGATTTTCATAATTAGCTAATTTTTGGGTTGAAAAATAATAATTTTAAATGTTTTAAAAATTATTTTGTCTTCAGTTGAATTTGTAAATGGATAGAATGATTGCATATGTTATGTTGCTAATTTTTGGTATTTATTGAAAAAAATTTATTCTGTTTTCACAGTATTTCTTTCCCCCTTTCAGCTTTAGTTCTAATATTAGAAAGAATTATTTTAATTTAATTTTTCAGTTTCAGATTGGACTTAAGATATTTTTCAGAATAACAACAAAAATCAGCATTAATTTTCAATTATTCACAGACTAGTTCAATGGTTTTACTTTTGCAAAAAGCGCAAATGAACAAGATAGGAATTTTAGATAAGATAAAGCCTGGTAATAAGCATCATCTGTTGATGAACCAGAAATAATTCTTTAAAGGCCGAAGGCAAAGTGGATTGGAATTAGGATCACTGGAACAGAAAGATTTTTTGAATGTGAAATGTCGGAAAATCAGTTCTCCTATGAAGAGTTTTTTATTTTGGCCCAGAAAAATTGAAAGTGTATTCGGACCAACAAATTGGCAACAGAAGCCTTCTGTGGTTCCTTTTTTCTACACATATGCCTCATGTTCTGACTTTTAAGGCTCTCTTAGTTGGCCAAGTAAATTAAACCACAACTGCAGAATCTATAAATTACCAGGAATTCATTCCATAATTCCTGAGTATGAAACTCGGAATTTTATGATGGGAGAATAAGTTAAATTTCTGCAAAATATGTGCAACTTTATAGCTATTGATGGAAAGAAGGGAATGACAACAGAATTTTTATAATTTCCTAAAGCAAGAGTGTGTCTTTGGTGTTTGAGATGAGAAATTTTTTAACTTCTTGTTTAATAATGTTAGGTGAAAAGCCCCTGTCAAAGCTATTGCTTTTAAATAATTTAGTTCTTCACAAGGGATAGTTGGAGAGCAAACATGAAGAGTACGGAAAACTAGGAAAAAATGTAGTAACTTTTGTTTAGTCAGACGACATGATTTAGTGTGGTGGAAGGCAACGATGAAGGTTACGGTAAAATGTAGTACTGAAGTTGGATGTTTACGTGTGACCAGATGTCGAGAAACAGAAGAGAATTGAAGTCTCAAGTTCAAAAGTGAACTGAATAGCAGGATCAATAGAATTCATTGTTGAAAGAACTTATTTAAATCATCTTTATTACCTTCAAACAGAGTAAAAGTATCGTCTACGTAGCAGAACATGCCGGGAAGTTAAAGTTTCAAACAATTTTGATTATAATAATGCATGTAGATATCAGCCAGGAGGGGACTGAGGGGGCTCCATGGCTAATCCCTCAGTTTGCTTGTAATATTATTTTGGAAAAGGAAATGTGTTTGTTTCAAACAGAGTTGAGTGAGAGAAATTAGCTCATCAATTTCGATGCAAGAGAAATGAAATTCACGAAGTCTGGTTTCTAGACATCCTAATGCACCCTCCACTGGAACATTGGTGAATAATGATTTTACATCAAAAGAAACCATGAGTAAATTTATAGGAGAAATGTTTTTAACCTTTTTTACAAACTCTATTGAATATTTTGTGGTGTAAATGTTATTGTCTAATAGAGTTGAAAATCTAGAAACTAAATAGCTAATGGATACGAGGCAGTACCTAAATTTGATACAATAGGGCGGAAAGGAATACCACTTTTATGAATTTTGGGAAGAGCATATAATCTGGCACAATTCGCAACAGATGGGATAAGCGAATGTTTTAAGTTGCTTGAAATTGTTTGTGAAGATTTGATCGCAGTTTTTATTTTCGACATGTCCGAAGGTGAAGGATCTTTAGGGATCGGATTATATGGTCCTTCGTTTAAACTCTTAAACGATTGATTATATTTAATTATGTGTACTGCTGATTTGTTTTGGGGTCACAGTATATCAAAAGATATTAATTTTTAGCTATAACTTTTGGGAAAATTTTTCTTTTATATTTTAAAATTTTGATAATTATATAAAAATAATTGTAAAATCAATTTCTAGAATTATATTTTCTGATTCTTGATCACAGTTATTAATAGATGTTAATGTAAATGTTTAGAATATGCTAAAGTTTTGAGTAGTGCAGCTGCACACATTTTTAGAATGATTTCAGGGCTGTCATTTAATTAAGATTTAAAATGTGAGGTGTATTTTTTTAAATGTTCAACTTGATAGCCTTTTTCTGGACTATAAGACTACATCGTGATTTCAGTGACAGAAGGATTTTCCTTAAAGTTTCCTGGGGGTATTGTTTTCTATTCCTCTTCTTTCCAGAGTAAGAAAAGAAAGATCTCTTTTCAAGAGACCAAAAGGCACAGTAACCATTGGTAAAACATCACTCTGACTTTGCAGGAATATGCTGAAAAAATATATGTACAATGCTTTATCAATTCTCATTTTTTCAAGGAATACAATGGTACTTTTTCAAGTATGACCTGTTGCTTTATATTTATGAAGTTTCACTCTTTGAAAGTCCCTAGGATAAAGAAATAAAATTTCCCATTAAGAGAATCCTGCTACAGTTATAAAACTCTTACTGAAACTTTCTTTGCATTGATGGAATCAGGTCTGTACATTTTATTCCTCTTCGTTTTCGATAATAAATGGACCTTTTGTTATTCAGTTGTTTAGGTAAGCTAATGCCTTTTCAAGGATCACAATGTAACCCCATTTATCCCATGCTAAATAGTTTTCATATGAGGTTCTACCAATTGTTCTGCTTTGAGCCACATTCTTTGCAAAAACTGATGAACATTATGATATTTAGCTTTTTTAAATTGTACATTTTGGGCTATTATTATATTTATTGTTACTACAGATGTATTTAAAGACTTTATAATTGATTTCTGCATTGAGAGAATTTCTTTTGTTGTCAACAATGATTTAACATTAGGAACAGTACATATCTTTTTTGGATATTTTGTTTGGAGTTTTCATTCCAGGTAAAAGTAGTGATTGACGGTTTTTTCCTTTTTGATTAATAATGTTGCTTATTTTGCACTTCAGATTTTAATAACACAGATTTTGCAACATTTTTGAATTATGGAATAGGACTATTTCTCTCTGGAAAGTGCAGTAATAGATCCTTCAATCCACAGTTTGTTTACATGTGATATTTTCAATAAGAATAAATTGAAAAGTATCGGACCATATTTCTCATTTCAAATAATAAACTGTTGCCAGAAATTTTTATTCCAGAACATTTTCTTTTTTAAAATGATTTTTCAAAATCATTTTAAAAATGTGTAAGAACACCTTTTGTAGTTCAATCTTTAAAAATGTGTTTTAAAATGTTCCAGTATTCTGAAAATTTTGTATTTTATTTTAGATGTTGAGAAATGGATGTCTGACTTTAATTCATTTTAAAATTCCTGAAGATGTGGTAAGACATTTTTCTAGATTTTTAAAAATATTTTGAATGTTAAAATTGGTAAGTTACTGAAATAAGTTTTATTTAGTAAAATTCTCCTGTGTATGATATGATTAGCTATCTTTAAGATAATTGCTTTTAGTTCCTGGTGCTGTTAGTCTTCTGTAGAGATTATCTGAGAGAAGATGACTATGAGTAATGATTACTTATTTGCCTAATTTACATTCACATTAAAAAAATACTGAATTAAAAAATTACTCTTTAAAAAATACTTATGTATATGTGTGTGTGTGTGTGAGTGAGCATATATGGATTAATTAATAACATTGTATTAATAAAATTATGTATTTGTTATAGAAATAAGTAGTAAATTATAGCCTAAAAATAATATTGAGAAAAAATTACCAGTGCAAAATTTATGTTTTTTTATATAATTTTAGAAACATTCACTGCTTTTTAAAATATTTATCCAATGAAATATGCTGATTTGGTTTTCTCGTTTTCTTCTTAGAATAAGACCTAATTATTTTAATTTGTTTAGAGGATTAAGAGCTTATAAAAATTAGCATGTTTCATATTGCAGGAACTTTATATAACATAGATGTTATATAATAATTTTCAGAGCATGCTAAAAAATATTCATTTAATGAAGTCTGCTTGACGTATTTTTTTAATTAATCATTTCTGTTATTGAAATAACATGAACTTCAGAAATTAAATATACTCTCTTATTACTGTCAAATATCTCTGAATTTTTTGCCAACTTTTTTCCTAAAAAACTGGCTTGCACTATTTTGAATAGCTGTTTATTATCTTTTTTAATTTTATGCTTAAAGATTACTAAAACATCTTAATCTAAGGTAATTAACTTAAGACACAGGAATTTAAAAATGACAAGCTTCATGCATATGTTTGCTGAACTGTCTGCTTCAAAATAAAATTGGAACATCAAAAATAAAAATGAATTGTTATATATCACTTGAAAATTAATTTGTTATATATTATCAACAGTACAGATAGCAGAAGAAAATCACGGACACTATTAAGAAACCAGTTAGGAGCTTGATGAATCAATTAAAGAGAGCTGTATCATATTGTTAAGTATGTCTGTATGGTATTTTATAAGTACATTATACTAAGAAGAGTAAAATTAATGATTCCAAGATGACTATAGTGAACCTTCTGCCAGTTACTCGCCTTCTATATATGACCCCCCTTTTTTTCTCTTAAAATGACCACTACTTGTGAGAACTGATACAAGCATCATTACTGCTAATTGTAAGAGCATTAGACAACTGCTGTCTGCCCCAAATGAGACCATCGAATATGTAATATGGTGATCCTTAAAATGTCTGATTTCACTAGAAAACTAAAGTGCTTTGCATACTATATAAATCAAAGCTTTGTATTTCTGGCTTTGATTGTAGCAACAAAACTGTAAACCAGTGTAGTTAATCATTAATTCAGTGTCACTCTGCTTACGGTTCTGATTTATTATATAGCCTTACTTCAGATTATGAAACCATTTTTTTAAAGTGAATTATTAAATTTTTTATTCTGTTCATGCTTATACTAAATTTTCCATTTTCTGTCTGAGTTGCTGGAATTGTATTTTCAAATCAACATTCATTTTTGTTTTTGATGCTATTACAGAATAATTTTCATCAAACAGCATTAAATTTTGCCTCCATGCGTAACACTTTTCAGAGAATCATTGTAATACACTGTCTTCAGTATTGCTTCTGTAAGTAAGTCATGGAACTAAGTCTTAACTAAAATCAATCTTTTAACTAAATATGATTGTTATTGCAGAGATGTGTAAGTGCAGTGGATCAGTTTTTGTAGTGTGCATAATTTTTTGCATAATGCTATTTAATATAGGATGTGTCAAGTAATTTATATCAGGGAAACCTTTAAAAACATAAGTGGAAACGTTAATGATTAGCCAACTTTCTTTAATAATGTAATTGAAATTGCTCTTTAGTGCTCCTGGCCAAAAAACATAACTAATTTCTTGTAAAAATTTGGTATTATAACTTCATGTAAAGGAAAAATAGGAATCTTAACTTTAAATCAAAAGCAGTTTTTGTAAACTGCATGTGATTTTAGATAGCAATAAGTCTAGTAATTCTTCATGCTGATTTTAATTTATTTTCTATTGCTGTATTAGTTTTATAATGTTATTCATGATGACTGTAAGAATTATTTCCAAGAACTTTGTTTTACAAATTATATATATATGAGTACGATTATTTATCTTTATTTATTCATACATTACTCATAAAAGTGTAAGTCAATCTATAAAATTTGTTATTTGGAAACTGCATATTTTCTTCTTTAAGCAGTTTTTTGACTATGAACGGCTGGTCAGCTTGTTATTATTAATTGTGGCTCAAGAAGATCCGGATGACTTTGTGCAGCGGATTGGTGTTTACTTATTAAATAGTCTTGCTTGTCAAGTAGATGGAGTTCAAAAGCAATTAGTTGGGGATCGAGGAGCTATAACAGTAAGTTCAGGTTACTAAAAGCTATACCTCAAATTAATAATAATAATAAGATTCTGATCTGTTTTTAAGTAATTTCAAATTTTATCTTGATTTAAATATAAAAATATTTCTCATTTGTTTATAAACCATATTGCTGGCTAGAAAAAGCTCAAGCAATTAATATCTTTCATTTCTAAAATTTGATAAAATTTGTGTTATTTATGTAAGAATATGACAGCATGTTCTGCAAGCATATGTTACAGTACAAAGTCCATAATCTGGACTCTTCGGGACTTCGGCGATTCCAGATTAGGGGTTTTTCCAAATTATACATCATCAATTTAAATCTGTTAAGATGGCATGCGGAAATTATACAATTAAAATATGAAACCATAATTTATGAAATAAAGAGCAATTATGATCTAAAGGGTATCAAAATTTACAAGAAAAAAGCTTGATATTTATTTGTTTACTTTAGTAAACTTTTCTATCAATGTAAGTTGTTTAAGTTGCTTAGTTTTTGTGCTAATACTTTCTCTTTAATTCTAAAACAGACTTAATTTCTTGTTCAGTTACAAAGTTCCACTTTTAGTCTTGTAATTGCTGTGTCGAGAATACTGACTAACTTGTCAACCAAAATTTTTTCGTTTTCAATAACATTCTCATTACTTTCTTCACTATCGGAAGCGCACATGGGTAAACGCTTTACTGGCTTTATGCGCACATCAAATGTGCATGCATAAACACATTATGCACATGTGTAAGTTTGTGGCTTTGAGGTCCGGATTATAGATCATTCCGGATAATGGATGTTTGGATTAGAGACTTTGTACTGTAATAAGGTAAGGGCTATACTGTTAGTAATAGAGCTATATCCTGAGCAACCAAAGGTTTGTTTATCTCATCGTCTGCTATTAAGTTTTAGCAAGGCTACATAGCAAGAACTGCCAGTCTCTGCTACATTAGAAAAGGATGCCATTTTCCATGTCAGTGTCCGAATAGTATCAGTGCTTCTGGGCAAGTAGAATCCTCTATTTTTTAAAGTTGACTACAGAAAAGGCACTTCATATCAGCATTAAGGAATTTATGCTTCTTTTGTCATGTACGAGAAATTTTATGGATATATGTTTTGAGAGTAAAAGCAGAATCCTTTCTTATGTAAATCACTTCTGCATCAGTGACTTCCTTGCAGAGAGTTGCCTCTAAAAATTAGGAATTTATGCTTCTTTTGTCATGTACAAGAAACTTTATGGATATACGGTTTGAGAATAAAAGCAGAGTCCTTCCTTTTGTAAGTCACTTCTGCATCAGTGACTTCCTTGCCTCTAAAAATAGTGAAAATGCCTTCCTGATTGATATAGTGGTTAGCGTTGTTGTCTGTTATATTCTTGGGCCCGGGTTTGAATCATTGAGACGTCTTGGATGTTTTTAAGTGCATACTGTGTATGTGGCATAGGGCACTTGAAGTACTAGTGAGTCTAAGTCTTCTCGAGAGGTTTAAAAATAGGAAAAGAGGAGTGAGAGATTCTCAGATCCGTATCCTGAGATGCTGTTCATCAAAAGAGTGGCAGAACTTTCCCATTCTCATATATATAAAATAAGTTAATCCCTTCCTTTATGGTGCACTTTGGGCAGTATAGTCAATAAAGAGACAGCTAAATGACCAAGAGATATTGGTCATTCCTGATGAATGCATTGAATTGCAAGTGTCTGGCCACTTGAAACAACAAAAACATAATTAAATCTAACTTTACAAAAGATAGGGTTACTTTTTGTTGATGGTGGGATCTGGAAGAAAGGATATGCTATGAATTGCTGAATTTGATCCCACTGTGACTGCTTCAAGTTACTTAACTAACTCCAGAACCTGGCTAACTTTTGCATCTAAATTACTGCAACTAGAAAGTAAACCAAAGCATAGTAAAATCCTTAACTATGTTAGTTTAAAAGCAGTAGTTTTATTATTATTAACACATTTTTAATTAAGTTTCAAGTGTTTATTCTAATTTAGGAAATAAGACAAGTAAAGACAAAGGTGCATTGTATAGTCCATGGGTTCTAACATGGAGGTGGGGGGGGTATCATCTTTAAGCATCTTTAAGCAAATTATCATTTAGCAGTTTCAAGTGGGAATGAGGTCAGCCTTTTATTTTCCTGTTAAGTATTTAATTTACGAGTATAAAAAAATTGTTCAATTTTGGTTATTTGTCAACATTTTCTATTACTTTTTCATATTTAATGTATGAAACACTGTAAAAATAATCTAAATGCAAATTAATGTGTATGCATATTTCAAGTTATAAAAAGAAAGGGGGAAAGGATGGTCTAACAATGGTGAGAAGGATGCATGGGACGGAAAGGCTTGAGAACTACTGGTATATAGTCAGGTTGTATGATTCTAACATTCAAGCATTTTGGAGGTTAGGGTCCAATTGTATTTTGCATTTTGATGTCACAGCCGGTAATGCTACTGAGACAAAAAATATGATAACCAGAGGGGTAAAATTTTATAAATTCTTTGCTTAATAGGTAATGCATACTTCCCTGTATAACTGAACAAAAAGTAATTTTTGAAGGGAGATTATTTTAGAAAAAAGTATAGGATTTTTGTATATTGGGTAAGGAAAAGTAATGTGCCAGCTAAATATTTTCTCCAGTGCATTCAAACTGAAGAAAGAGAGTTTTATGAATAACAAATAATTTTTATGATGAAGTTTTGTGTGCTTGTTTCATATTTTCTACCATTTGGATATGATTCACCAGTAAATGAGGGGTAAGTCACTAAACATTGGTAGTTTGATCCATGATTTGAATTCCAGCAAATGGGCTGGGTATATGGGCGTTTTCTTGTTTTTCATCATAGGTAATGTGTATATGAGTCAGTTTCCCTTAGAAAGTTCCCCATGAAGGCATAATCTCATTCCCTTTACTCTTCCCTTAGGCAGATAGTCCACTAGCACTTTGTTGTAATTAAAATAAACCAAGTTAAACCATACTACAATTTTTATATATAAAAACTATTTTGAATTTCTATTTTGTAATTTATTTTGAATTTTTTTAGATCATGTTGCAGCTTATTGAAAAGCGCTTGGCCCGGAATTTATGTGATGAAGTGATGGAAACTGCATGGAGTACAATGTGGAATGTTACTGGTACTTACTTTTGATATACGCTTTTATTGCTCTGACAGTAAATGAGAAGGTATTTAAGTGATTTTAAAGTAAAACAGTAAACAGCCTCTTTTGTGTGAAATAGTTTACTGTATAGATTAAATTTTATATTGTATACTTTAGTATCAGGCAAAAGTATCTGAAATGTTAATAAGTATAATATAGAGTTTCCAAACTGGAAAAAAAAAAAAAAAAAAAAAAAAAAAAGTTTTTACTGTTTGCCCTTTGGCTGTAAAAGTTGAAATGCAAATCCTCTTTGGATTTCTTTTATTAGCAAAAATGGGTACTAATATAAGTCTTTCATAAAAACACTGACAGTTTGTTCTCGTTCCTGTTCCTGGGTATTGAATAGACTGGTTGCCTGAGTAATCTTGTGTGAAATAGAAAAAAGGGCCAATTTTCACCAAAAATTCCCTTATGTAAGATTTTCTTCCCATAGGCTTGTATTCCTTATATGCTTTGCTATAATCCTGTAATCTAGTGTAATCTAAGTTCTGGTACTTTTATCATGCCATAGTACGAGGTCAATGATTCTATTTTCATGAATGATGTTTCAGTGTACTATATTTTATATTGAACATACATTTTATTTTATCCACCATTGCAATGTCAGTTGTTCTGACATGCATTTATAAAGTTAAAAAAAGTACCTCACCAAGTATTAAAATTATTTAAATATGAAACATAATTCAATAATTGCACTAGAAAGTAGAAATTCTGAAGTTTTTAGATTTATCTAAAGCTCTTAAAATCTAAAAGTCTATAAAATTTATGAAAATACTGCAGAAATTCATGCCACGATAAAATTATTACTTTAGTATGATTCTTTGTAAAACAGTATTTATATTTTGCTGTATTATTTATTTTAGTAATATTGTCTCATTGAGGTAAAGGACAATTCCAGTGATGATAATCTAAATTGATTTGTAAAAGTTATGTATTAAAATCTGATTTTGAAATTTAGCAAAAGTTATTAAAATCATGTGAATTTAGGTGATAATTTTACAAGGAAATAAGTATAACATTGAATTCTGAAAACTGTGTTTATTTTTTAGGTGCATAATTTATTATCTAATTTACATGGTTAACTTCAGCAGTGTTAGCTGTGATATTAGAATACATATTGAGTAGTGAAAGTAAATGTTTTGTTTTTAAATATTTTATTTCCAAATTTAGATGAAACTCCTATTAATTGTGCCCGATTCTTGGAAGGAAAAGGAATGGATCTCTTCTTGGGCTGCTTGAATGTAAGTGATGTAAATATTGCTTAAATCTGTTGTTTATATCTGTTAATAATCTAAACCTGAAACAATCAAAATCTAAACATTTGCATTTGCTAAACATTTGCATCAAATAATTTTATGATGGGTGATCTGCATTTATACCTCAAGCATCTGTCATAATTTATTCTAGTACCTTCTTGTTAGTTTTAATGAAACTTTTGAGCCTATTTTTTTTTTTAAGAATAAAATTACAAATTATTTTACTGAAAAATTAGTTATTAAAATATATGAAAAAGAATAATTTTAATTATAAATCTTTGGGACCCAGTTTTACCAATCGTATAACACAGACATTGTTATTTATAATTTATAATACTTATTCAAAGAAAGTTACTGTGTATTAATTAAAATATTTATGCAATACAGAACAAAGTCCAAAATCCAGATGTCCATTATCCGGAATGATCTAAAACCCGGACCTCAAAACCACCAACAAAGTTTTTCTCGTAGGCTTTCCATATGCACATTTGATTCCCCCCTCCATGCATAATAAAACATCTGGAGAATCCCGATTCTTAATTTCACTTTGATGCTAAATAAAATACCTTGTTATTGAAGAAACAATCATTTTAGCATATAAAACATCTGCACGTAATAAAACATCTGGAGAATCCCGATTCTTAATTTAAAGCTAGAAGGATAGCTAAATTTGATGATGATAGCTGCTATCCCAAAACAAAGGTGAAATTTTCCAATTAACGGATTTTTGTAAAGAAATGTGGAGAAGCGGTAATAAATGAATATGATATAAAAGAAGATTTTCATTGTGGTGACAATTCTTCTCAATCATCAATCAATGAATGGCGAAATCTGTAGTATGGTTCTAGATCCAGGAAATACCGCTACCGATAGTGAAGAAAGTGGCAGAGAAGTTATTGAAAACAAAAAAATTTCGATTGACAAGTTAGTCGGAATTCTCCAAACAGCAGTTGCAGGACTTCAACAATGTAACAGAACAAGAGATTATGTCTGTCTACAGAATTAAAGAGAAAGTATTAGCACAAAAAAAAAAAAAAAAAAAAAAAAAAAAAAAAAAAAAAAAAAACTTTAACAACTTATATTGAAAGAAATATTTAATAAGGTAAACAAATAAATATTAAGTTTTTTTTTTTTGTAAATTCTGATACCCTTTAGATTATAAATACTTCATTATTTCATAAATCATGATTTCATATTTTTAATTTAATAATTTCTACATGCCATCTTACTGGGTCTAATATTCTTATTGATGATCTAATATCTTGAAAAATTCAAAATCCGGAATCGCCGAAGTCCCAACGAGTCTGGATTTCGGACTTTGTACTGTATAATCATTTGTCGGGTTATACAAGATCTAGTACTGCTACTGTATTCTTTATAACCCTAACAGATGTAAAGCGAATTATCGAATTATTTCATGTCTGAGGTAGTACGACACTGTCTTAGGAAATTTATGAAAAATAACCTTTTTATTTCAGCAAAGCATTGAACATAAAGGCTGACTTTGTGTTAAACAGCTTGTGGAAATGCAAATTAAAATAAAAAGAGTCGATTCAACTTGAACGTTGATCAATAGTAAAGACTACACAATTAAATGCTAAGTTATAAGTTGTCTCAATACATTACTGGTGCATCAGGTTTAAATTGTCATCAGTGGCAAGAGAAATGCAAAGCCGCGATAACTACAACTGCTAGAGCTAGTAGAATCTAACCATGTAGCATGTAATGCCAGGAACTCTCTCAAGATCCAGAAAGCTCAGCTTTAATATCCAAACAACTAATATGTATTCTGGTGAGGAATATGGAAAGGAGATGTACAACGGTGAACTCAGTACCCAAACAATATCCAGTGTTATGTTTGGGTATTGAGCTAATGTTAATGTTGTTAATGTCGTCCAAGGTTGTTAAATACCTAACCAATTAATATGTATTCTGGTGAGGAATATGGAAAGGAGATGTAAAAAGCTCAACTTAACTGGTTAAACAACTACAGTACTATAATTCGGACGTCCATTATCCGGAATGATCTATAATCCGGACCACAAAGCCACAAACTTTTTTTTGTATGCTTTACACATGTGCCTTTAGCACAAAAATGAAGCAACTTAAACAACTTACATTGAAAGAAATGTTTAATAAAGTAAACAAATAAATATTAAGCTTTTTTTTTTTTTTTTTTTTTGTAAATTTTGATACCCATTTAGATCATAATTTCTCTTTATTTCATAAATTTCTGTTTTATATTTTTAATTGTATAATTTCTGCATGCCATCTTACCAGATTTAAATTGATGATCTATAATCCGGAAAACCCCTTAATTCGAAATCGCCGAAGTCCCGACGAGTCCAGATTACGGACTTTGTACTGTAATATGTATTCTGTTGAGGAATATGGTTACAACTGCTAGAGCTAGTAGAACCTAACCATGTAGCATGCAATGCCAGGAACTCTCTCAAGATCCAGAAAGCTCAGTTTAAATACCAAACAACTGATATGTATTCTGGTGAGGAATATGGAAAGGAGGTGTTATAATAAAGACCAAAATCATAATACTTGTTTAATTAACATAAGATACTTTACACATTTATTACTTATTAATGTATCCCAGATTTTATTTCTTGCTATTATTTAGTATTACATTATTACTACATTACTGTTAGCAATTAAAGTTCAACACAGTTCGTTGGAAAAGTTGCAGAAGCTGACATGCAGTATATTCACATGGAAGAAAAAGTCTTTAAGTGTAGTAACCAAAATTCATTTTTTTCTAACTTCTAACTGCTGCCCAGGTGTTTAAAGTAATCAGTGACTCTGACTGTCCAGAGAAAGCAGGATTGTAAAATTGCTGTCCCGTCATAGGAGGCATTATTAGGCCAGAGACCCAATATTAGGTGCCTCCATAGAAAGTCTTTACCACCTCTGCCCTTAGTAACGGCCATGCTACTAATGGCTAGTGCATACTTTGGGGGGCGGGTTAAAAATAAAATAAAAATAATAGTAATAAAAAAAATCTAACTGTTTGAATGTGCTGCTTGTGCACCAATAGCAGAATGTGTAACTTAAATTTTGAGTATTATCCGATTTTTAAGTTGAATTTTCCAAAGTGGCAGCTTTCCTTTTGTGAAATTGTTCATTGGTTGTATGACCTGAGAATGGCATTTATGAGTGCATGAAAGTCATGAGGATTTTATACTACAGTCAAAAGTCGTTAATTCGGACACCCATAATCCGGACCTCAAAGCTTCAAACTTTGTGCGCATGCGTCGCGTTAAAGTAAACAAATAAATATTAAGCCTTTTTTTTTTTTTTTTTTTTTGTAAATTTTTGATACCCTTTAGATCATAAGGGCCTTTACGGCTGAGAATATGCTTGTGCGCGTGCGCAAAATACGTTTACGAGTGCGCGTTTAATGTATAACGGACGGTATAAGCTAAGCTAAAATTATTTAATTATCTATTTCAGTTAATGTTGCAGATTGCGTTGTTCCTTAATCTTCGAATTGGATTCGGCTTATTATTTTTTGCAGACTGTTAAGAGCAATTTTATAAAAGTAAGCTTGAACTTTCGATTATGTCAATAGAATTTCTGATATATATTTATTAATATGTAAATGCTACAAAGCGAAAGTATGTTTCGAAGTTCATTAAACAAAAAGTGGAATTGCTACAAAAAATGGATAAAGGCATATCCTTTGTTTATCTAAACTTTAACGTTTGTTTATCTAAACTTTGTTTATCTTTAATGCGGTGCTGCACAATGAATTGGAAGTTGATCTGTCAGCACTATCCTCATCTTCAGGGCAGATGTTTTTATTTTATTTGGCTTATAATTCCTTATTAAATGTAGTATTTCATCTCGATGTACTCCATATTTGATATGATTTAAATCAAATTCCTCGTCATTATAATTCGCTTCCGATAGCGAAGAAAGTGACAGAGGTTATTGAAAACAAAAAAATTTCAATTGAGAAATTAGTCGGTATTCTCGACACAGCAATTATAGGACTTGAACAGCAGAACTTTGTAACTGAACAAGAAATTATGTCTGTTTTAAAGAATTAAAGAGAATGTATTATCACATAAAAAAACGAAGCAACTTAAAACAACTTACATTGAAAGAAATGTTTAATAAAGTAAACAAATAAATATTAGCCTTTTTTTTTTTTTTTTTTTTTTGTAAAATTTGATACACTTTAGATCATAATTTTTCTTTATTTCATAAATTTCTGTTTTATATTTTTAATTGTATAATTTCTGCATGCCATCTTACCAGATTTAAATTGATGATCTATAATCCGGAAAACCCCTTAATTCGAAATCGCCGAAGTCCCGACGAGTCCAGATTACGGACTTTGTACTGTAATATGTATTCTGTTGAGGAATATGGTTACAACTGCTAGAGCTAGTAGAACCTAACCATGTAGCATGCAATGCCAGGAACTCTCTCAAGATCCAGAAAGCTCAGTTTAAATACTCAAACAACTGATATGTATTCTGGTGAGGAATATGGAAAGGAGGTGTTATAATAAAGACCAAAATCATAATACTTGTTTAATTAACATAAGATACTTTACACATTATTACTTATAATGTATCCCAGATTTTATTTCTTGCTATTATTTAGTATTACATTATTACTACATTACTGTTTAGCAAATTAAAGTTCAACACAGTTCGTTGGAAAAGTTGCAGAAGCTGACATGCAGTATATTCACATGGAAGAAAAAGTCTTTAAGTGTAGTAACCAAAATTCATTTTTTTCTAACTTCTAACTGCTGCCCAGGTGTTAAAGTAATCAGTGACTCTGACTGTCCAGAGAAAGCATGGATGTAAATTGTCTGTCCCGTCATAGGAGGCACTTATTAGGCCAGAGACCCAACTATTAGGTGCCTCCATAAGAAAGTCTTTACCACCTCTGCCCTTAGTAACGGCCATGCTACTAATGGCTAGTGCATACCTTTGGGGGGCGGGTTAAAAATAAAAATAAAAATAATAGTAATAAAAAAAATCTAACTGTTTGAATGTGCTGCTTGTGCACCAATAGCAGAATGTGTAACTTAAATTTTGAGTATTATCCGATTTTTAAGTTGAATTTTCCAAAGTGGCAGCTTTTCCTTTTGTGAAATTGTTCATTGTGTTGTATGACCTGAGAATGGCATTTATGAGTGCATGAAAGTCATGAGGATTTTATACTACAGTCAAAAGTCGTTAATTCGGACACCCATAATCCGGACCTCAAAGCTTCAAACTTTGTGCGCATGCGTCGCGTTAAAGTAAACAAATAAATATTAAGCCTTTTTTTTTTTTTTTTTTTTGTAAATTTTGATACCCTTTAGATCATAAGGGCCTTTACGGCTGAGAATATGCTTGTGCGCGTGCGCAAAATACGTTTACGAGTGCGCGTTTAATGTATAACGGACGGTATAAGCTAAGCTAAAATTATTTAATTATCTATTTCAGTTAATGTTGCAGATTGCGTTGTTTCCTTAATCTTCGAATTGGATTCGGCTTATTATTTTTGCAGACTGTTTAGAGCAATTTTATAAAAGTAAGCTTGAACTTTCGATTATGTCAAATAGAATTTCTGATATATATTTATTAATATGTAAATGCTACAAAGCGAAAGTATGTTTCGAAGTTCATTAAACAAAAAGTGGAATTGCTACAAAAAATGGATAAAGGCATATCCTTTGTTTATCTAAACTTTAACGTTTGTTTATCTAAACTTTGTTTATCTTTAATGCGGTGCTGCACAATGAATTGGGAAGTTGATCTGTCAGCACTATCCTCATCTTCAGGGCAGATGTTTTTATTTTATTTGGCTTATAATTCCTTATTAAATGTAGTATTTCATCTCGATGTACTCCATATTTGATATGATTTAAATCAAATTCCTCGTCATTATAATTCGCTTCCGATAGCGAAGAAAGTGACAGAGGTTATTGAAAACAAAAAAATTTCAATTGAGAAATTAGTCGGTATTCTCGACACAGCAATTATAGGACTTGAACAGCAGAACTTTGTAACTGAACAAGAAATTATGTCTGTTTAAAGAATTAAAGAGAATGTATTATCACATAAAAAACGAAGCAACTTAAACAACTTACATTGAAAGAAATGTTTAATAAAGTAAACAAATAAATATTAAGCCTTTTTTTTTTTTTTTTTTTTTTTGTAAAATTTGATACACTTTAGATCATAATTGTTCTTTATTTCATAAATTACGGTTTCATATTTTTAATTTTATAATTTGTGCATGCCATCTTACCAGATTTAAACTGACGATCTATAATCCGGAAAAATCGATAATCCGGAATCGCCAAAGTCCCGATGAGTCCGGATTAACGACTTTTGACTGTATATGTATATATATTATTCATAAACCCATTTAATGTGGACTAGCTAGGCTTTAAATTTCTTGGTTATATACTTTGTTGTTATCAGAAGAAGCTCTGTTAATTTCTGATGAGCACTTATGTGGGACAGAATTAATTTGTGGTGTCAGAAATAGGTGAATTAACAAGTGCACTATTATCTATGCCTGTTGTGTAATAGAGCAATCGCATGTGTGGTATAGCAGAGGTTGGTTGCGGATTAGTAAATATCTGTGTGCACTGTGTATTTAAAGCTATTAACTACAGAAAAAGATTGTAGTGCATTGTTCTGTTTTTGCTTGTCTTTAGTGTTAAAGCATCAGTGGCAACAGGGTCACTGATTTATTATCATTGGGGTATTGAAAATTTCCATTCATGCTTAATTTATCATGAGGGTTGCTATCTGGAGACACCATAATTTGGCGATTTTCAACCAGTGTATGCACTTCTATACCCTGGGGGGTAACTTGAATGATAATTTGGGCATCACAAATGGATATGATTATTATATGTTAATAAAAATGAGTAGGTCTTCATGGATTAATTTTAGTGTTCACATTTCTAATAGCTTCCAGCACACTAGTAATCTTGAAATTTTTTTTCCCGTGGTCAACGATGTATAAATATCAGTATGTTTAGAATTGTTTTAAAATTCATAACATTAAATAAAATGGATTATTCTAAGATCAAGAGAACTGTTCTCACTGAATGTGTCAATGGTTCTTCACTCATATAGGCTGTTACAGTTGCCTAAAAGCCTTCATTCATTCTAAAAATAGCTCTGATGTAATGTAGACCCATTATATAATCCATATGAAAACATTCTTTTAAGTGCTGATTTAAACTGTAATAAATGTAGATTAAACTGTAATAAATCTGATGAATTTTATTGAAACTTGATATCAGAAATTATATTTTGTAATAAAATGTTTCAGTATATAATTATAGTAGTTTCCTAAAGAAAATGTTACATATCTGAAGTGTATCATATTTTATCTATCTATTTTTAACACTGACAAAGAAATTCATCCTTATAGTAAGTGCTTTCTGGATGCAGACTTTATGTTAAGAGTCCTATTTTTGGAAAGGTTTAAAATAGAACCACATCAATAAACTGCAAAAAATTGAACACAATTCTAAAGTAATTCAGAATTTGAGAATTTGTCCGTGAAACTTTGTAATATCTGACCGATGTTAAATGTTTATTGCTTTGAAGTGAAAATAGTACATCATGATGTGAAATAAAATTATAGTGTAGCATTAACTTGAAAAATCAAGAGCTCGTGCTAACTAGGGGATAAAATTTTATTTTTGAAATAATTCTTTTCTACACATTAACCATTTACACTATATATGTATATGTGTATCTACAACAGTAATTATGTTTGTCGTTACAGAAAACATTGCAATTCTATATTTCTTCTACTAATATCTTTTGGATAATTTTTCTTACATATATCTAGCATATAGTTCTGTGTATAAGCAGAGAATTTTTTAAAACTAATTATTGGAGTTGTCACATAAAAGGATCATCTAATGTCGCAAAAAGTGTAGGTACTTTTCTGTTTGTCAGATGCAATCAAATCAATTGTCAAATATAGTACTTTTTTATTTTGTTAGTTTATAGCACTTAAGTTTATACAAAAAAATAAATGAAATGAGTTGTTTCATTTGTGAAATTGTTTATATTGCTGATTTGTTGCATCGTCGCCACCCCCCCCAAAAAAAACCTCCACTTTTCGCAGATACAACAGATCATATATAAGAGAACAGATGAATGGAAAAAATGACTTATGTAATTAATGTAGGAGTACCAGAATTATAATTATCATCATTAGGATCTGGCATTTTACTTAAATTCTGGCATTACAATGATTTTGTTGAAAAGTATTTCCCATGTTTTAGCTTATTGTCAACATATTTGAACTTTACAGTATTTTTTTCCTCTTTTACCTCCCCGTTCAATTTATGTATGGGTTTTGAATTTTGGCGAATATTTGGGAGGGGGAAGAGAAATTGCATTTTCCACTTGGTTTATTTTTGGCAATTATAGCTTTAAAATTCTTAGGATATTTAACCTTAAAATGATTTTGATTATATGCAAAACACTTAATATTAGTTTTACATTTGCCTCTTAAATGTTTTAAATATTTAAAACAAACTTCTTTCTTTTGAATAATTCTCCTTTTATAATTAAAATTCATTCTTTCTATTTTAATAACATTGAGAACTTAAATGGGGTTTATCTCAAAAAATATAACAGAAAATTTGCTTGTTTTTAAGAGACTTCTCTATGTTTACAAGCATAGTAAATGTAGCAATATCTGCAGTACTTGCTCTTTAAAAAGAGTACAAGCCAGTTTACCTTAGAAAGTCTTCTACAAAGGCATCTCTTTTTGCAAACATTTGTTCAGGTCCTTTGCCATAACAAAATAAAGCAATCTTAACATGTTCCATTGCTGTTATGCAGTAGAAAAATGTTTAGGGATAGAATAACTAACCTATCCATTTTCTTTCATTACAAGTATTTTTAGGACATTCTTTCTAAAAAAATTTGGACTAAAACATTTATCATTTGTGGCATTTATTTGGGCATTTATCATTTGTGCAGTATAGTGTTACCATTGCAAAAAAATAAGATCTTTACTTTATCTTTGCAAATAGCCAATTTTAAAAGTGTGATTCATTAAAGCATAAAAATCTTTTAGTTTTAGATTTAATTAGTATGCAGATGTATAACAAACTGAGCAATTGAAAGGCATAGATGTTAATGGTTTAAATCTTTTAACTATATATCTAAATGATATAATTTAAAATACCTTTTATTAAATAGTTTATTATGACAGTTTTCATGCAGGTTCTCTATCAATTTGCAGGCAATATGTATATATATCAGTTTGCATCATTATTGTAATTAACAAAAGATATTTGTAAAAGGTAATAAACTTTCCACTTTATAGTGTAATGTGGTTAAATTTTAAAGTTTACTAACCAGTCTTTTAAAATTGATTAATTAGCTGCTTTTAAACTATCTGTTTTAAGTTAAATTAGTTTTCTTTTCTTTTATTTACTTTTAAATTCAATGTTACATTTTTCTTCTTGTAGGCTTTCCCTGATAAACCAGAATTATTGAGAAATATGATGGGATTGTTGGTAAGTTGTATTAAATTATCCCATATTAAAATTTTTTTCACTTGTTTTGGATTTGGCATTTTGTGAAACTGGCAATTTATGTATCTTTCTGCCTATTTATTATTTACATCCAATTCAGTTTTTATCAAATATTTTATTCAGTATATTTTGCACGACAGTTCTTGTTTTATGTGTTATGTTATGTGGGTAGTAACATCTAATTAGTATAATGATTTTGCTATTCTCTTAAGATTTTATGCTATATTTGTGTATTAGAAATTTGACAATAAATATTTTAGGGGAATGTTGCAGAAGTAAAACAGCTGAGACCTCGTTTAATGAAAGATGAATATTTAGCTGTATTTAGGTAAGTTCTTAAAACCTTATTAAATCTTTTCTGTAGGGATTAAAAATACCAAATATCAAGTGTTTTTTCATGTTTATTTTTAAAATACTTCACAGAGTTCTTTTCTCCATATTTTTGCTTTCTGTTAAAAATTATGTATTTTGTTTACATAGGATATTATGTATTATTGAGTCAATCTATAAGAGCAATAGTAATTAATGGTGATGATTTTTGATATTTGTCGCCTTAGCGTATTTATTAAAAATTTTTTTCCTAAAATACTATTATTTCTCTTATCTTGGATTTTTTTTTTTTTTTTTTAATGGCTGCGATTTGATTTCTGCATCTAATCTTTTGCTTAAAAGTGATGTTTGAATTTATACTTTGTGATTCATATCAATGCAAATTTTATTTTTGTAAAAGTTTTATATTTTATAGTTGATAACACTTTTTTTTACTAAGACCATATATTAAGAAAATTGATTTATCTTGATTTCTTTGCCTTTTCATGTTATAAAAGTTAGTTATAAAATATGTCAAAACTCGATGGAAAGGTAAGAAGGAAAAGGGGGGGGAGGAAGTCTTGTTACTTCCATCATATTGAGATTATTTGTTTAGAATTTTTCTTATCTGATTTTTGATATTATATCAAGTTCTTCTATGATGTATTTTTGATCCCATGTTAAAGGCACAAATTTACAAAATCATTTCATGAAAAAAGTTTAAAGCTTTTAAATATACTTTGTTTTGAGGAAAACTGAATTAATGACTTTTATAAGTTAATATTTCTTCTGTGTGCATCTGAAAGGATATGTATTTTTCTTCTTTTAAAATAATGTATACAAAAAAGGAACACACAAAGAAATATGTATAGATGAAAACACCAAAGTATGTAGATTCATGAAGGCAAATGTGTTGTGGCTTTAATGATCTGCTAATGGTATATCTGCACAGAATATGTATTCTTTGAACACTTTGACATCAACAAATCAGTAAAACAGGTGCAGATAAAAGGGGCTTCTTCATTTCAGAAACTATATTAATTACTTTTAAAATAAATAGCTAGTATTCAGTTAGATCATAAATAAAAATAAAACTTCAAATATAAATCATATTTCAAAATTTTGATGATTGAAATATTAATTTTCTGGATAGTTAGATATATTTTACATTCTGGTGTGTCAGCACAGCTGATAGCATAATTTTTGGTTGGTAATTTCCCTTTTTTTTTTTGTCAGAGACTGATTTTGGACCATTAAAACGCAAAAAAGTTTTGTTAAATAAAATTTTATTGTCTTCATACCTGAAAAATCAGCACAAATTAATTGAGACTTTTTCTAGTTATAGTGTACTTTTTATTTAGCCATGCATATTTGAAATTAAATTTTGCATTAATGTTTAATTCATAGCTGAAAGACACAATCGCTGTGGGTTTAAATCATATTTCTTTTATTGCAGTTAAACAACTTGCGGCCACAACAAATTGGTACATTAATTGTGCCATTTCTAGGATATTTACATTTTTAATATTGTATTGCAATAGGAAGAAAGTAGTGCAGCAGCATCTTACCGGGAGCAATAGCTGAAGCAAAGTGTGTAGTTATTCAATACAGAGGTTTATTTTAGGAGAAAGATTTCAGTGTGAATTAGCCACATCATCATCATCGTGCAAAAGTCATATAATATTGATTAATTTAGAAATGATACAGTCCAGAACAAAGTAATATATAAAATTACTATTTTTGGATAGGAAGGGAAAATGCCTAATTTAAAATGAAGATTTAATGAGCTATTTCTAATATAAGTTATAATTTTTATTTTTTCATGCATACATACACATATATATGTAGCAAATAATATTAGATTTCAAACTTTTCAGTATGTGTTTTATTTTTTTTATATAGTGAACTACTGTACAGCAAAAGTGATGGGATTGAAGTTAGCTATAATGCAGCTGGTATATTATCTCATATCGCATCAGATGGACCAGAATTATGGGTAGAACATAACATCTCTTCAGTAAAACGACAGGATGTTTTGAGACGAATGGTTGAGGCTATTGAACAATGGAATTTGAATACAAAACGTAACATTAATTACAGGTATAAATGAATATTATTCAATTATTATTATTTGTTCTGTTGAGATTATATTAGCATAATTCTGTACTAATCTTGAGGAGATCGTAAAAGTTTATTTAGAGATTTGGGTACTTGTGTATTATCACAACTACCTTAGTAGAAGTTGCCAAATTTTCAAAAGTTGACCAACTCTAGCAACCATGTGCATAGCAGTTCTTTAGGTAACCATATCCATTGTAAATTGCAATCCAAAAATTCACCGAATAATTTTTTCTTCTGTAAAAATTGCCAAATTGTGCCAATTGGGTTGCACTAATATGCAAGTACTGACACTTGTTTATTTCTATACATAAAGACATTTGGTCAATATTTAAAATCAAGTTTATAGATGCTTACATAAAATCTTGTTAATCTCTCTATGTAAAATCATTTGGGTAAAATTTTAATTTAAAATCGGGCAAAATACGAACATAAAATGATTTTTTTAAAGTGCATATTTTGAAGGAATCTGACATGAAATCTTATCAAAAGGGGAAAAAAAATGCTTTGCTATTTTGTATAGTTTTGAATATAAAATTAGTTGTATTTTCTTATATGTATACTAGTGCATAAACATATATGTATACTAGCCATCTACCTAAAAATATTAAAAAAAGTTTAAAAAGGAAAATATATAATGATTTCAATGAGTTCAGCTAGTGTAATTTCATGAGTCCAAGACATAATTAATAATAATAAAGAAGAATAACCATGTTTATTTTTTAAATTGCTTAGTTTATTAATTAGTAACAGCCATATTAAATTTGAAAGAAAAATTAAATATCTTGTGCTTTGCCAAATGGTAACAAAATTTTTGGAGGATAAAAGTATTTTATTTTGGGCTGTGGCAACACATTTCTTCTAAGTTGCTGAATTTATCGATTAAATGTGAGAGAAAAATATCTTATACTTTGCGAAGTGGCAACACTTTTATGTTGTCGTGTTTTTTTGATTAGATTTGAAACATAAATATGCCTTTAAATCACTTGAGTTTAGTATTAAAAATTTCATCAAGTTTGCATAAAACATAAAATAAATCAAAATTTGTTCTTCAAGATGCTTATATTCAAGTGGATGATGACTGTGTGTTCAAATTTGATTGCTATAAGTGCTGTTGTTTTCTTCACAGTGCCAGGAGCATACATGCATACATGTAGATTCTTCATTATGTAGTAATATATATGTGTGTGTATAATAAAAAATAAAAATGTGAGAATTAATTTTGCATGTATATCTCTTTAAAACTGTAAACTGTGCTGGGTATATATCGCAGTTATTTAAAATTCTGTTAATTAGTTAAAGTGTGTTATATTATTATTATTATTTTTTTGGGGGTACTGTAACATATAACATGAATACTGTAATTGGCTGTTATGTACGTGTATTTAATAATGAAATCTAAAATGAATTTTATGTTACTTAAATTATTTATAGTATTTCATTATTTAAAATATAAATGAAAACTGCTCTTAATTTTAGGTCGTTCGAGCCCATTTTAAGGTTACTATCTGTTGATCATACACCTGAAGCACAGCATTGGGCTGTTTGGGCTCTAGCTAACCTTACAAGAGTTTATCCTGACAAGTACTGCTCTCTTCTGAAAGAAGAATGTGGTATTGACATGCTTTTTAAACTGATGCAGAAACCAGGCTATCCAAGAATCCTAGAACTAGCTGAAGCTATAATTAAGCAGTGTCAAAAGTAAGGAGTATTTGAGTAAAATTAAAAACTGGTAGGATGTGTGTACCGTTTTTATGTTGCTTATGTATTAACACAACTACCTTGTGCAGTTTGGCATATTTCATAGGAAAAAAAAAGAATAATGATTTAAAATTTGTTTTAACTATGTATTTAAAAGAAGTAATTTAATGTACTTATAAGTGAGTTTTTGTTTCTTTTGTTCTGGTGAAAATTTTGTGGCAATTCTTTGAGGTATTAAGCAGTTGTCTTCTTAAGCAATTTTGCTGCAAAACACCATATTCCTGCAGAAATGTTACTGAAGTTTTTTTATACGATAGGCACGTCCCTTTGCTGTATATTTAAACATTGAGTTTAAAACAAAAGATACTAAGATTTACATGTAAAAACCATTGGAACTTAAAATACAACAAAAAGAACAGCTAGGAAAATAAATGGCAACATTTATTGTTAAAATTATGTCATTTGTTATGGTTGTCTGAAGCATTTTTCTGCCTATGGTTGCCAGGGTTTGGCACATTCTTCAAACTTTGATAATTTCGTTGTGAAATTATCACATTATATTATTATTTTTTATTTCTTAAATTTTTGTTTGAAAATATTATAGAAATAGTAGTAAGTATACAAATTTGAAATTTTTATACAGATCAAGTACCCTGTGAGTATTGGTTGTATTTGCTGTGATATCCTTTTGAGATTTAATAACTGCAACTAAAATCTGCTAGCTTTTAAAGCATGTTTAGTACACTTCCAAGGGTTTGCACCCAAATCCCTAAAGTTTCTTAAAAGGCCATGTGTAAGTAGTTATTTTCTACCTCCATCTCTCTCTGTTATGTGAACAAAATTGTCTGAACAGACCCAGAGGTCTTTCCATTTCTTTTCTCTTTCTATATATGAAGAACATTTTACAAGTGTAGCTTTTTAAGAACTATTAGTCAAAAGTTTTACTGCATTTTACAAACATTAAATATGTCCTTGAACCATCTATGATCTTATAGTACCATGAAAAAGAGTGAAATTAAATGACGGAACAGATTCAGAAATCACCTTGCAAAAGCCCCAACTAAAAATTTGTAAGCAACAGTCATAAGAATATCTGTTTCTGCTTGACATTCATTGGTTATGGGATGTAAAACATTTATTTTCTTATACCTTAAGGTATTAATTGTGCAAGCATTATAGCAGCAAATGCATTTGCTGAATTTAATTTTTTATTATATACTAAGTTTTTAGCTGTTGTCCCATTGTAGAGTCTGTAGAGTGTTTTGGATGCTGCAGTATCAGCAAGAACAATGTACAAAGATTGGCTGAATGTGGCTTGCAGTCAAGTTATGCTTTGCAGAGCTTCCTTTTAACTCCAGTTCACCAGCATGAAAGATGGCAATGATCTCAAGACTCAATCTTTTTGGTGTATGAGACAGATTAGTGTCCAGTGATAAATTATAGTTCTATTTCTTAATGATAGTCATCAGATGGAGTTTAGAGATGATGCAGATTCCTTCTTGCAATTATTAAATGTCATATTGCTTGTTATGGTGGTTTGGATGTCGTTACTTTCAATAGATGGTAACCTCTAGTTCACATAAGAGGTACAATGATGAAATAATGACATGTGGATGAGCTGTTGTAGTTAATTATATTGCCTGCCTTCAGAGCAAAACATTTTTTATATTTTTTTAAAGATAGATAATATGTGTCCATTTACTGCAACTACAAGTAAGATAATATGTGTCCATTTACTGCAACTACAAGTAGTGATATAATTAACATCAGGATACTTTTCTGTGGTATGTAATTGGCAGTTGTTTGATTGTTCTGCTGCAACCTCAGCTAGAAGATGAACTATGGACAATTGTGAGAACAGTATGGTCATTCATATCTGAAGGTGCTATCTGGTATGCTTATTTTATCTGTACCATGAAAAACCGCTTCTTATATAGCTAAAAGTAGGATTCTCCCTTCCCATTGATCACCTTGTATATGTAATCAATGTAGTGCATTACATTCTTAGAATTAAAATCACTTTAATTAGAAATTGCCTCTTTTTCTATGTGTCAGTTTGCATAATGTTCTAACTCCATTTTAATGGTGTTCCATTTTCTTTATTGGGTAGGTTTATGCTCTCTGTGGATAGATTCTGTGCAAGAATTATACTGAAGCTTCTATCTCTAATAAAAGCTTGTGTATTAATTTAAAATATGTTTTCTGTTAATAAAACTATGACAAATTAATTTTGAATATTCTTTTATGCCTACAGAATTTTAATTTGTTGTTGCTTTCAAAGGGCTATGTTTCTTTGATTCTAAGACACAAGCAGTTTAAGGCATATCTCTGAATTGCACATCTATTAACAGAATAAAAGACTTTTGGCAAATAAATGAAATAACTTCAGTTTATTAACATTGGCAATTATCTATTTAAATGATTAATTGTAAAAAATAATTACAGTACAAAATCCGTAATCAGGACTCGTCAGGACTTCGGCGATTCCGGATTAGGGGTTTTTCCGGATTATAGATCATTAATTTAAATCTGGTAAGATGGCATGCAGAAATGATACAATTAAAAATATGAAATCGTAATTTATGAAATAAAGAACAATTATGATCTGAAGGGTATCAAAATTTACAAAAAAAAGCTTAATATTTATTTGTTCACTTTATTAAACATTTCTTTCAATGTAAGTTGTTTAAGATGTTTCCACAAAAATTCAAAAAGTTCCTTTTTCTTGCGTCATATATAGTGGACTTTTCAATGCCATACTTTTCCCATAATTTTGAGATGGATAGGCCTTTATCCATTTTTTGCAGTAATTCTACTTTTTGTTTAATGGACATCGAAACATGCTTTCGCTTTTTAGATCCTTTGGCAGCTGAAGAATTGGAAACTCTTTTTGACATAATCGAAAGTTCAAGCTTAATTTTTATAAAACTGTTTAATAGTCTGCAAAAAATAATAAGCTGGATCCAGTTAGAAGATTAAGGAGCAGTGCAATCTGCGACATTAAATGAAATGCCTTAGATAATTTTAGCCTAGCTTATACTGTCCGTTATACATTAAACACGCATGCATAAACGCACAATGCGTTTATGCATGCGCATAAAAGTTTGTAGCTTTGAGGTCCGGATTATAGATCATTCCGGATTATGGACGTCCGGATTACAGACTTTGTACTGTACTTTGCAATAATGGATAAATCAGAAAAGCTTGCAATTCTGATGTCATTGATTCCAGGGCACACCTTGTCTATAATAACTTTGATATAGTAAATAAGTGCACCTTAGAAATGAAGAAATATGGTATTAGTGGATCTTATGATTAATACTAAAATTTTACTTTTAGGTATGAAAATAGTAGAGTGCAGGATATTGAGGAAGATTCAGATATGCTTGATACATCATAGTCAATGGTTTGAAGCTTATACATGTGTAAATATCACTGCTAACTGTTATGAAAAGAAATATATGCCATTTTATGCAGAAGAGAAACTTTCTGTTAAACTGTGTTTTATTTACCTAGTAAAAATTCATACTATAAAGAAATCCATCTCTGGGTGGTGAAATCAACTCTAAGTCAAGAAGCATTTGTGAAAGTTGTGGAAATGGTGTAGCTAGACTGTTTTCAATATTAAGTGTGAAATCTGTGTATGTGGTTTCACTGAAGGTGTGTTATTTTACTTAAAAAGAGCAAATATTGCTGTTTTTATGTTTAATGTAAAATATGTGTGAAGGCAGATGTAATATATAAAATGTGATAACGCTGAGCCAAAAAGATAAAAGCTTAATAGATTAAATAAATACATATATGTCAAAGTTTTTATGAAATAAAAAGTATTTGGATAAAAGTGAAGTTAATCTGCATCTTTATGGTATTAAAAAAGTTTAAGGACTAAATCTTAAGGCATTAGCCATTTTAATGTATTGAACACTCTTTTTTTTCTTTCTTTTTGGATTAGTGTTTATTATCATTAATATTACTGTTATACATGATGTATTTGCTACAGTCATTTAGAATGGGTGAAATGTAACTTTATTAGATTTCCATTTTGTGTGCCAAAATCTTGTGAAATATATTCAAATTGCTGAAACTTTTAAACCTTCATTGGAAATATAAAAATTTGAAGGTTTTGACTTCGAAATGATTTTATTTTAGTTCTGTAACTGAAATTAAATGTATGAAAATAGTAAATTAATATTGTATGAATAAACTACAATTAATTCTACACTAAGTTTAATTGTCCTCACCTGTCTGTTGAAAAGCCATATACTACAGAATCTTTTGACACTCATATTCATTTTCATGGCATATATTGAGAAATATTTTGGGATGAATAATATGGCATAGAATTCAAAAAAATTTTGTTTCATATAACTTTGTGAAGCAAAATTGTTCGTTTATAAGTTATATTCATTGAAATACCCATTTGGTATTTAGATATAAACAGAAGCCATTTTAAAGTATGATTGATAATTTCAAAAATAAGTGAAGTTTTAAACATGGAAGCTTGTATGAAAATATGCATAATATTGTTTTAAGTTTTGGAAATAGCTGAAAGTAGACATATTTTGTTATTTTCAGGTTTTTAATGATATCCTTTTTATAAACGAAGAGCCATATGAATGGTTCATATTCAATTCAATTTGTTGTTTGTGTGTCTTTTAACGAGTTCAGATGCATATTGTATATATCTTATTGATTTGATTATAAATATACACATACATAAAGAAAATTGCATTTGTTTCAAAAGGGGGTCAAGAAATTTCATGTAACTGCCAATTTAATCTCATGGAATGATACATAATTTGTCTGAGTGTGTTAAATTCTATTTCCACTCTAAAAAAATATCATGAACATTTATATTATTCTTTTATATGTATATATGGAGAATTTCATTTGTCTATATGACAGTTCTTTGTTAAATCAATTCTACATGAATGTGTATTTTTTTAAAATGATGAAATTGTTAAGTGAGACATATGTAATGGTAGTCAATAGTAGTGAAGATTTCATCCTGTTTAAATTAAAAAAAAACTAAATGTATACAATCTTTGAGCCTTCCCATTGTAAATTCAGATACTGATGATTAACATCAGTAAGGAATATGGAATTGAACTCTTTCCTAAGTCATTAAAAATGTATTGTGTGTAAAATTTAAATGAGCTTAGTTGTTATTATGGGTCGTTTTTAGTGTGATATCGAAATGAAAAGACATGTAGTGTAATTTCAAACTAAAGTCCTGGACTTCTTTCTGAAACTGTCATTCAGCATCTGAGTTATAAATATTTATAATCAGGTCAATAAATTATACTTTATATGTTTAAATATCATACAAAGAATAAACATTAAGTTTACTTTGTGGAATGTGTGATTTTAGAAATAACCTTTAGACTTTGATCATACGGTATTTTATGTGAACTTGAATATTTTAATGATTATAACAACTTTTGAAAATATCATAGGTGAGTGCAATAGCAATATGACAAAAAAAATTAAAGAAAAATGTAAATTCAGGTTTTCTGAATAAATGTGGATAGTTATTTTTGCTGTTTTGTGAAGTTTGGCATATATGGAATGTCTGCCAGCTATTAGTCTTTCTAATATTGTCTTTAGAATAACATAATATTCTCTACATATGTGAGCAATGTAATAATGCATAGCATTTTGTACTTATTGCACTTTTCAGTGGATTCTGAAAATTATCAAAAATTTATGTATTTATGAAAAATAAAATAATGATGTAAAATATTTTCTTCAGTATTCATATTGAAATCAGACATAATGACAGTTTATTTTAATTATCTCCAAATTAATGTTTATAAAGTATGGATTTTATATGCCTGCTAAAATGTGAAAGAAGAATATTAGTTATGAGAATTGGAATAATAATGAAAGTAAAACTTGCAGTAGTTTTTAAGCTATATTATTATTGTGTTAAAGTGCAAATACAAAATAATTTGGAACAGTAACCAAAAGTGAGAGATTTTTATGAACATCTAAATTGTCTCAAAAAAACCTGATGATTTTTGAATAATTTGACAACAGAGGACTAGTAAGTACAATAATTTGTGCTATGGATTACCACAGATTTTCCCCCTGAATAACATGAATACTATCTACCTTCATATAGAAAATCCCTTCCTATTAGGAAATAGCTGCATATATTTTGCAATAATTAATTACCAATTCAATATGAAATAGAAATTTCTAGAATCTTCTTTAGTTCATCAAGATGGTGATTGCATAAAATGTGCATGTTGATTTGAAGAATGCATATTTTCCTAAGCTTGCTTTGTGGACGCAAATTGTATTCCTGTACATATTCTTTGACCATCTATACAATAAAAAATTTTCTTTAGGTGTCATTTATCAAACATCATTTTATTAACACTTGAAGACGTTATTGTTTTCATTAAGCAGTTTTTGTATTTTGACAGAATAAAAGTTGTTGCCATTTACAGGAGATATTATCGCCAGCTCTGTATATAAGTAATCCAGTAAGGGGAGGGGAGAAAGCTATGTTTGAATAGTTCCTTTTATTAAGTAAATGCTAAACCAACTCAATTTAAATAAAATAATTTTGTGTTCTGTATCTTGCATTTATAAGGATTAATTCTTAACCTATTAATTAGTACTTAGTTTAAAATTGTTGTTCAGATGTGTATGGGATGAATATTAAACTGAAATTAGTGTCTTTTAAAATTATGACTTTTAATGAAAAATTCATCAAAGTGGCACTTTATTTAGAAAATATTAAGCTATGATTTATAATTGTGACCTAACATCCAGGAGGAGCATCAAATGTTCAAAAATAAAAAATAAATTAGATTTTTCTTCTCGGTTTTTCTGTATTTAATAGTATTTAACTGTTGTGTTTGGTTTTCCATTTGAAGAAGTCTTATAAAATAAATTTATGTATGTGTAAAAAATATGGCAGTAAAGTTGGAGTGTTTGATAATTGCAGAAAGGTGTTATAATATTTCTCTAGCACATGGAATCAAAATTTTAAGATTTTTGATTTTGAGGCTTTGATCTCCTGAAAAGTTTATTAATAGCATCATAGACAGTTCCTGAATCTGTGAACCATGGAGTGAATAATCATTCATTGTCGTTTAATGAATAAAAATTTTGGCCCTGTAAATGTCAGCTTACAGAAGGTTTGACTGTATTTATGTAATCAGGTGTCATAATTTTTACTACGTACTGTACTTTTATAACCCTTTTTATTTATTTAAATAAATATGTTAATACAGATACACACTGGTAATTTAAAATTTTAAATATTTTTCATATTAATTTGGCTTTGAATTTTTCATAATTCATGAAAGCATAAGTATTTGTAATGGTAGATTAAATCCTGACACTGCATATGTATATACTTTGAAATAATTTTCTACATATCTACATAATTATTTGAGTAATTTTTTAAAACAAAATCCTTTCAGCAATAAAAAAATATGATGGTTTGGCAGTAAAAGTTTAATTGCAGATAATGTATCTCTCTTTTAATACAGGTTTGCTGTCCTTTTAGTGAACATTCTTAAGTAGCAGCCAAGTATTTATAGTTATTACAAATTTAAAATTTTTAAAGCTTTTTGATAATCCTTTACAGAAATTTCAATTAATCTACCTGATCTAAAAAAAAAACATAATTTTCCTTCTGAATAATTATTTTATTGAATATTCTCATTGTTGCCAGTGGCTGAGTGGTGAAGTTGCTGAACATTGGCAGTTCTGTCCAAGATTCGAATCCTGCAAACGGGCAGGCTGCATAGGCATTTTTATAATTTTTCCCATATGTGTGCGCGTATATACATGTTGCACATTTCTCCATGTGTACATGAAAGAGTCACTTTCCAATAGAAAGTCTTCCACGAAGGCATTCCTTCTATTTGACAGATATCAAGTGCTTTGCCATAATCAGATAAACCAAAACAAACCATTGTTGTCAGAATTATTTTGGATAAACAATTAAGAAGAAAATAATGTGATATGAATCATAAACAAATGAAGAAAATGGTAAGAATAGGAAATTTTATGCATATTGCTCAGAATTTTTTTTTTTTTTGGAGGGGGGGCAGATTTCATGTTTTAAAAACATGTTTAATACAATCATTATAATTCTTGAACTATTTATTAAATCAAATCAAATGAAAAAGATCAAATTATGCAAATAAAGATAATTTAAATAAAAACAGTGAACGTGCACAAGATCTGTAATTTTTATCAGGTGAAAATTGTAGATTTACAAAATGAAATAAATGCATATGATACAAATGGACTAGTCTAATATGTAAAAAAATATTGTCTGCAGTAAGAATTTTATCTGTTCTTTTATTTAGAACCAATGCAACTACCCTTTATCTAGTTTGTCAAAGTGTTTTCACACATCATAACAATTCACACATACATATTAGTAGATAAGTTCTTTAAAAATAGCATATGCACCTCTTAATAACCTTTGTATAATTTTAGTAATATATTTAAGCAATATTTTTATTAACATTTGCACTATTAATGTAATAAATGTTTTTAATGCCTGATATTATGTAAACGATCTGCAGAATAATCACTTATGCATAATCTAATAATGAGTTTGTTATGCTTTTATTATCGCTGTGATTATTTAAAAATGAAAATAATAAAATTAATTTCCTCAAAATTTGAATGAAAATTTCACAATTAAAAATATTTATATTTTCCTGAGAAAGAATTCTGAAGCAGAAGCAAACTTGAAATTCCAGTTCCCATATTGTATAACATTTTATCTGTTATGGACATAAGCAGGATAGAGAAAGATTTCATATTACAATGCTGAGAGGTTTCAGACATCTCGACTTTAAAGATGAACTAGCATATTTGAAAGTAAGTATGATATTGTACCAGTTATATGGTGAATGTGTTTTTAACTGCTAAGGAATGGATGGCCAAACCCCTCACAAAATGATAAGAATATATGATATTGATGAGACTGGATTATGCCAGAATGTATCTCGCAACTGAAAACAAAAAATGTTAGTAAAATAGCAAGTAATGTTTGACAGCTCTTGCTTATAATATGAATGATAAGAAATAAAAGATAAGCTGCTTGTGATTGGAAAATCTGACAAATTTTGATGTGCTTTTATCAAGGAAAGGTCAAGAGCTAAGAAGCAGAAAAGCTAGCAGTGTTTAATTTACAAAAATATAAAATGATTAGAATGGCAAATAATGATGAAAAAAGGGAAGAAATTCCTTTCAAAGAAGAAGTATAAGGCACCTAAAATTTTATCCATTTTAGTTATTAAAAAAATAACCCATTAGCTTACTTGTATCAAGATTCAAGTATGTGTGCTCAATCACAGTATGAAGGAATCTAACACTGCCTATGATGTCATGGTCATTATCAGAATTGTTAATTGTCCTGACTTCTTGGGGCTCATATCTTAAAATGGGCATATTTAAATTCTATTGATTCAGATGTTTAGTGAAGGAGCTTGGATACAGAAAAAGAGATTATAAAACTTTTGGATTCAATCCAAAGATATCATTTTATGTTAATTTTTTTAACAGTAATTTTAAGAAGAAAGTATTTTTAAGTATTAATTGCTACTGAATTCTAAATTAAACATTTTTTGAAATATTAACCATTTTAGATGCAACTGCTACTTGAAATATTTATGTAATATATAATGGAATTGCATATTAAATTCCATTTGCTATAACTATATTTCAATTCCACAATTAATAATAATTTTTAAAACTATTCATTATAAACGAATTACTGAACAAATCAAACCATTTATGGTATTTCCAAATACACTGACTTTCAAAAGTTATGAACTCAATGCAAATTAGCAATTCCTGAAAGCATGGCTGAATTACAGTGGCTGCAGGTAGCCGTATAATGCAAATATGATGTTACAACCAACTATAATTGGCTGTCTGAATATGTGCTAATTAGGTAATTGTTGAAGACGTAGCATTCTGAAGGGTTTAAAAAGGTTAATTTAAATTTTTGTAAGATAACTTTTGATGATATTCATGTTTCTGTGGCTGAAAGAAGACAAATGGCACATAGCACTGGTGTGTTGTCAGAAGTATTGAAGCAGGATATTCAGTGAAAGATGTCACTCTTCTTTGGCACTGATCATTCAGTAATTTCTCAAACATTGAAACAAGTCAAACAACCGTCTAGAGACCTGTGCCTAGTTGATCGAGAGGTATCACCCTGATTGGTATATTTTTAGAAGTAGAATGAACGACTTCCATGGTTGCAGTGTCACTTTGTATAATATCTGCTAGTACTGTGCACTGACGGGTTCATATAAAAGGATTGTATAAGTGTTACCAAGTGTTTTACTATGATATACCAAGTGTTTATGTTCAAATAACTGCCCAATCCACAGAAGCAGGATCTCAGTTGGACTGTCTTAGATAGGTGCTATGTCCTGCTTATAGACAAGTCCAGATTTGCCCTGATCAGAAGATAAGCATGTAAGGGTCCAGAGAAAATGAGGTCCAGAATACGACTTAGTCAGAAGTGGCATCATCATGGTATGGGCTGGAATTTCAATGCATTATTGGACACCTTTAAAGATGGTCCTATGATGGCATCACAGAGTTAGAATTAAAGTCCTATACCCCATTGTGAGACTGTATGCTTCAGCAGTTAGTCCTGATGGATGATAATGCCTATCCCCATCTAGCCAACACCATTAATGATTACCTGGAGAGTGATGGCATTTTGTGCATGGAATTGCTGTCATATTCTTCGGATATTAATCCCATTAAAAAAATCTTTGGGATGCCCTCAGGCATACTGTTTGTATATGTTTAGCTTCTCCAGCCAATCTGCCCTAATAAAAGTATGGCATTGCTAGTAGCATCTGCCATAGTCGATCACCTCATTGAAAGCAGAAGCAACTGCTGTGGGGGTAGTCACATGCTTTAAATGCAAGTTTTAGTTTTAGCTTTAAATATCAATTCATGCATGATCCAATCTGACATTATCACGCAACTTATGAAAATTAAATACTGCCTTCATCTTTACATAATGCTTATTTTCTTTCATGCAATAAATAGAAGTTATTACTTTATATATTTTAGAAATAGTCAAGTGGCTAAACTTTTGTTAATACAAATATTTTGTGTATGAAATCTGCAAGTGATGTCCATAAGATACACAATGATCTGAAACTTTTACCATGTAAATATTTAATATAGACAATAAGAATAATTTCTATTCTATAAATAAATATTAAAGCCCATAAATACTTTCAGCAAGTACAGATTAACATTTGTTCAATAGAACCATTTATAACAATATTGCATGTGCTGCTAATTTTTCATACATCAATAAATAAAAAAAGATACTTCACAAACATTTAATGATTGTAATTATATTTGGCGCAGTAAAAAATTATACAATCATGATAAGAATTACATTTTGCACAAGTGATTTGACATAATTTGATAAACATGAAATATTTTAGAAATGTGCAATTATTATTTCAAAAATAAATTAAAATTTAGACATGGATGTGATGGAATGTTAAGATTAGTTGGGGGAGAAGTGACAATAATTGGAATTGCATTTTTTATCTCCTCTTTAAGAACACAAAATAATTTGCCTAATAAAAGATAATTTTTTAAACTTTATTGCAATCACTTTGGAAGACTGAAATAAAGGAACTAGTGTTTACCAAGTAATGATGCATTTAATGAATCAATGAAAAAACAAAATTACATTTTTCAAAAAAAAAAAAAAAAAAAAAAAAAAAAAAAAAAAAAAAAAAAAAAATGCTTGTTTGGAAAATTCTAATAATAAATGTTTTATATTTAAGATGAAATTACTGTAATTTATAGCTATTAGATATTACAAAAATTTAATTTTAACCATACTTCTGGTATTTCCTTTATAAAAAATGAATAACTAGATATAAAAATCTTTGCTTGTACCTCAATATACTTAGTATTCAGAAGTATTTAATTTTTAATTATAGTTTAGTATTATTACTTTACCTTGGCAATACTGCAAGCAATTTACATAATTCATTGCAGTTGTTATAAAAAATTGTAATTTATCAAGAAAATTTGATTAGAATTTATTGCCTTTACTTCAAAATACAACTGCTCAAAAATAACAATTTTAATACACCATAGCTGCTAACAGCCGAATATAAAAAAAATGGGAGTTTTTGCACTGTATGAAAATGCCATTCCTAAGGAACTGCAAACTGACTTTATAATGCATGATGATTCAGGTTATTGAATTATCTGTATGATTCTGATATGAAATATATTAATGTTTCACCAACATTTTTTGTTCTTTGGCTAATCTCATTTTGCAATTTTCCTAACATTCTTATTTAGAGAAAAAATGGAAGGAAAGCTAATAATTAATTTATACATATATTAGTGTATGAATAAACTTAAAAATGTAACATTTATATTGTTGTAAAACAAAAATTAATATAAATATTAACCGATTGTTTGAATCCTCATAATAAATTATACAGATGTCTACATCAAATTAAAACAATTCGGACTAAATACAATTTAATAAGAAAATTTATGCTCAAAATCACTACAGGTGGGATGGAATTTACACAATTTAAGTTTCATTTATTTAATAAATTTTATCTAATGGTGGGAAAAATTTTCCTTAGTAAAAGCTTAAAATGAAAAGTACAAGATTCAGTGTTCCAGGATATTCAGGACACTAGGAGATATGTTGAAAACCAGGACTACTTGCAGCTATGAATATACTCAAATTGAGTTTAACCACTATAATAGTATTTAAGCAACCTTCAAAAGAAAATACAAAATTTTTATGTTTTGATGAAAATTTGCATGCATTATCTTTGAATAATCATTTCTATTCACATATCAATTTATTGTTTTTATATAGTTCCCTTTTTATAAAACATCACTCAATATTTAAGTAGAAGAGTCATGAACATGCATAATTAACAGCAAAACAGAACAGTTGCCACAAGCAGTAAAAACTAATTCTATATACATTATATGGAAAATCAAATACAAATAAAATTGAAACATTGTTACATAGGAGCAATAGATACCACATTGCAATGTAAAACACAGTCAAATAACTATATATACGTATAAAAGTCTGGATAGTAACAGATAACTAGCTTTAACTATGGTAAAATTCCTTTATATCTTTTTAAGATAATAGAGTTTGTATTAGAAGAGCAGAAAATTTTCAACTGCATTTTCTGATAAATGCAACAAAATAATTAAAAATAGGACAGATCTTGCTTTTCTATGCATACTGACGGAACAGTTCTTGAATTGTTTGAAAAACCTACGAAATAATAAAACAAATCAATAAATGCTTTATATAGTTTGCATAATATATTCTATCGTAATGTTAAAGATTTTAATGTTGCCACAAGTACACAATATGCAAAAAATTATTAAAAAAGGATTTCAATTACATAAACACAACATTTCTAATGTTTTATGGCCCATTTTCAAATTTTGCTTACATATGCTGTCCAAGAAGAAGAGAAAGAAAATTCAAGATAAATTAATGTTTAAAGTTTAATTTGAGCTATGCTTTGCATAAGGATGACAATAAATATATTTCTACAATTTAAAATATATATAAAAAATTGAATTTTTTTTAAAAAAGTAAATTTTAAAACTATGATCATAAAAATGCCTGTCCCTTTCACATTTTATGTTATTCAGAACCTCTTTGTTTTGTAACCTAATTTATTTTTTTAAATAAAGAAGTTTAATTATTTTAAATATGAACTATTAATGTGTTATATTCATGATAAAAATTAATTACAAAAGCTTTTTCCTTTAGCAAATCAATAAAAATAATTTGTCTTTCATTTCACGTCAAGTCACCTTGAGATTATTTTACCCATAATCAGTTTATAAATGTGCCTAAAAGGAACAGTACATAATCAGTAATATGAAATACATTTATAATCATCTTTATACCATGCATTGCTCAAATTAAACTTTAAATATTAATTTATTGTGAGCTTTCTTTCCTTCTGGGGCAGCATATGTAACAAAATTTGAAAACGGGCCTTATATATTTCATTTGTATAGAGATAAAATAATAAATGCAGCAGTCAAATTAGGAATATAACTTGCATCTAATTCAGAAAGCATACATTTAATTAACTGTTAATTTAAACAGAAATCTTTTTCTGAATAAAATATGATATTGAATTATTTATAGATATTGCAACTTATGCTACTTTAAGCAGACATTTAATCAGTCAAACTTAGAATATAGTGGGTATCTGTTTATTGTGAACAAACGTTAATATCAAGTTGAAAAAGAAACAATGCCAATGTAAAATTTTAAATAAGACAAAAAAGCTGTTTTAGTTTGGCATAGATTTTTATCTATTACATTCTTTTTTTTTCGGGGGGGGGGGAGGGCTCCTGAAGAAGGATCTGTCTCCGATTTCCCTCGAAACTTCAAGTTTTATTCAAAATTTATGCCACATTAAAGTTCTTTTTTACATAATTAAAAAAAATACTTGTGTATTAGTGTAAGTAATGCTAGTATATTAATATTATTGAGCAAATATTTAGAAATGGAAACTTAGCTTGGTATCATACATAATTTATATAGAACAGTTTATTGTATGCAATTACTAGTTTCCTTCTCTATAATGGAATTGATAGTAAAAGCTTTTGCTTTACTATGCAATATATGTATATCATGGTAATAAAAATCCACAAATAAAACAAGTATTAACTAATACTTACATAAGATAAAAACTAATTGCATGTTTATTAAGAATTACACAATTTGCAAGATTACATTTCAATAAATTAAATAAGTCACAATAAAATTTAATTAACTGTTAATTTAAACAGAATGAAATGGCAATTTCATTCTGTTATGGAATAAAATGGCAATTTTAAAATGGACAATTTATAGAAGGTAACTTTAACATTACAAGCATTAGAAAAATTTAACATGACAACAATGAAAATTATCTATGTAGAAATTGGGATTAATTAATTTAAAAAAAAAGTTGGCTAATCTTTGAAATATGGTAACAGGTAGTTTGCGACATTTTGGTAAGGCGATAAAGGTTACTATCTAGGACTTTAGCAGTGTACATGGATAAAGTCAAGAGTGTGCGCAATGCCATTTTTGTGCAATTCTGGGATGTTTTTTTAAGTGAAAATAAGTTGACGTGTACATGGATACCGTGTATGCGCAATTCTTAAAAACGCGGCAAGCAGTGGGCGATTCTGCACTTTCTCCCAATTTCGCACCTAATATTCGTCATGATTAAGCACTTTTGTTCCATAAAAGTTCTAGCATTAGCGTAATTCAGCTAGCAGATTGTTGGAAAAAAATGTTGAGAGAGAGGGGGAAAAAAAAAAAAAACCATGCCCTTACTTGGTGAAAACAAAAATGGCGTACAAAAAAAACTAGCAGGTTGCTGTAGCAGGGCTGGTCGCCAAATTTTCGCTAAAAAGTCGCCAAGTTACCATAATCCGAAGATTAACCAAAATGTTTTTAAAAATTTTTAATAGATTAGCTCTGCATTAGTTTATGGTAGTTTTAAGTATGTTAAAATTAACAACTTATAACAAATTCCAATTTACAGCTATTTAAATACTGTTTTCAGAATATTAAAAGTGATATGCAGTTTTATTTCTATGAAATCAAAACACCTATAATATTAAAAAGGAAATCAAACTATACACAATATGATTAACACAACATTCAAACAACACAGTACATTATACTCCCCCCCAAAAAAAGATCATCACTGATAGTATAATAAATTGTTTTCTTTATCAACAGATCTTAGTAGATAAAATCAACACAACATTAAATTAAATTGGCAAAATTTTAAGCAAAATGGAAATTTTTACAATTGGTATTCACTTTTTAATATTGTTACGAATTTGGTATTTAAAAAGCTAATGTTAGTTCAATTATAAATTAAATGGTTTTATTTCTCCCGCAGTGCAGCGCGTGACGAATATTAAAAGAAAGCTAAGCCGGAAAAATTAAAAATACAAGTGCGCGTGCGTTAAATAAATAAATATCTCTTTTTGATTTCGAGAAAGTGCTGGAAAATTCTAGCGCATGATTTTAAAATCTTATAAAAGGAGGAAAACATCTCAGTTTGTAGTAGTTGCTTAGTTTGTTGTTGTTTAGAAAACTGCTCTTGTTGATTGTAGTGAATTCGCGGATTAGCGTTCTTTAGCTGTTATGAATTACGTTCTATTGTACATTTGAGTAGTTAAAAGATAACTACTGTGAGATATTGTAATACTGCATGATAATTTGAGAAAATTTAAGCATTTTTGTTGTGATAATAATAAATTTTTGTTCATTTTTCATCGGACTTGTGCATTTATTTCATAACGAACCCGTACCACGCAACAATTTTTGTGTCAGGAATGAGATTTGAATGCCAATAACAGAGCGATGGAAGAGAACAGGCAAATGATGACTGCATTTGCTGCTTCCAAGAAAAGATGGAAGGGGCCGTCAACTCCGTTAAGGAAGAAATGAAATTGGGCCAGGAATCCGTTTAAGGAAAGAAATGAAATTGGGCCAAGATTCCGTTAAAGGAGAGATGAGATCCATTAAAAAGGAAATGGAAGCCGTTCACGAAAAGTTGGAAGTTGGTGAAGTAACTTTTAATTACCATCACTTGGCTAATTAAAAGCTGTACAAGAAAAGATTGAAGCAGGTCAAGACGAAATGAAGAGAAATAACCTCGTAATAAAGTAAATTTGAGGCTATGGAAGACAGAATAGGAGTGTTGAAAATAAATCAGGCAAATTGAAGAAAAGGTTTCTTCTGTCAAAGATGAAATAAGATAGAGTGTCGGCTGTGGAGCAACGAGTCGAAGGAGAGTTCGGCCTTCCAACACAAATTGAAGAAAGAGTTTCTGCCGTCGAACAAAAAATTGATGATAGGGTTTCTGCTGCCGTAGCCAAAGAAGTTGACAAGTGCATAGCGATGGTAGGAAACAATTCTGAAGGTTTCAAATTTTTATCGATGCCTACTCGTTCCGTTCTGAAACTATCTACATATGATGGGAAGACCTCCTGGCAGGTGTATAGGACACAATTTTCTATCGTTGCGGATGCGAATGGATGGGATTCCCAAGCTAAGGCCTATCATCTCGCCGCTTCTCTGAGAGCAGACGCAGCGGATATCCTGCAGACGCTTCCCGAAAATCAGACTTGACTTCGAAGCTCTATCCGGCGCATTGGAGTTGCGCTTTGGCGAGAAATGTTTAAAGGACTACAGCAGGCTTCAATTAAAATCCCGTCAAAGAAGCCCACCGAATCACTCCAGGACTCGCCACGATGTTGAAAGGCTGTCCCACCTCGCATTTACGGAGTGCCCGAGAGAAACGAGGGAAATTCCGTCGCTGCAAATATTCATCGATGGCATCCGGGACCCTGAAATACAGAAAGCACTGCGAATGGCAGATGTAAAGGATGTAAAAAGCGCTCTGTTGTACACCGTGAATTGAGGCAGCCCAGCAAGCAACTCTTAAGGATCGCTACCCAGTCAGCTGTGCGCGTCCCAGACCCAGGGGACCATTATGGCTCGTTTAGATGATTTATCCAGACAAGTCAATGCTTTGATACGGAGTAGCAGTGAGAACAAAGTGGCTGTAAGATGTTGGAGATGTGGTTCTGAAGGTCACCTACGACGGCATTGCAGAACACCCCAGGGCACTCTGGGATTCACTTCACATTCGAAACGTCTTACCGGGATCGGATGGGGAAACGTTCGATGGCAACTTATACTTCTAAGATCCCGCATTCCTGATGTCCTTAAAGAGTTACATAGCACCCCTACAGGAGGTCACTTTGGAATATGAAGACCTTGCAGAGAGTTCGGAGCCTTTTCTGGAATAATAAAGGATGACGTGCAAAGTGGTGCCGATCTGCAATGCCTGTGCAGGTCGGAAGGACGAGGAGACGCAGCCGGGCAAGGTGCACGTTCAACGTAGGGCCTTTTGAACGTATCGCCTTTGACATCCTGGACTCTGCCACGAACTGCTGATGGCAACAATACATACTCGTTGTCATTGATTACTTCACCAGTGGCCTGAGCTTATCCTCTTCCTGATCAAGAGGCTGTCACACAAACGGAGGTAATGACAGCACTGGATTTCCAGGTTCGGAGTGCCTCTTCATTACAGTCCGATCAGGAAGGATTTTGCCCTCGGCAGTAAGCAAAACTATGCAAACTACTCGCATGACAAACTCACAAGCCATGCATACCGTGGACGGCATGGTGAGAGGTCAATCGAACCTCCTTAAACCTCCATGGGGTTTCCAGCAACAACAGGACTGGGACAAGAAATTCACTCTGTTACTGGCTTATCGCCGTGCTCCACGAGTACCGGCTTCTCCATCACAGATTGCTCTTCGGTCCGTGACTTCGTCTCCTTGTATTATGTTGGCGCCCTCCGTGCTCCTCATCGGCGGAAACTCAAGATCTCCGCCCGGTTTGAGGGAATTCCTTCCTGCACGAGCGGTGAACTTGGTCACGAAAGTGAAGACCAGATAGAAGAGAGAGCTACTGGACATAGATCCACAAGGAGACAAGGTGTGGTTTGGAACCCGATAAACGAAAGGATTTGTCCGAAATTACAGTCACCTTGGGGGCCCGATAGTCCTAAAGACGAATGACGTCGGGTTCGGATCGTACGTCTTCGAACTCTAACCTAAAGTCGTTCATTCGACGGTTAGCTCATTACTATGGCCATAGTACGAATGAAAATTGGAATCGTATCAGACCATGTCCTTTTTGTTTATAAAGAAATTTGGGGGTATTTGATTTGATTTGGTATTTGAGAATTTGTTTTGATTTGTATTTAGTATTTGATATCATTTGTTGTTTAGTTTTATTGATATGTTTGATATGTAATGTAATGTTAGTTCTTGCATTTATGCCCAGTTGTAAGTTTAGCCTGTTCAGGATTGTACTGCCCGGACGTGCGTCTTGGGAAGGGGGCAGTGATGAATTTGTATTTAAAAGCTTAATGTTAGTTCAATTATAATGGTTTGGTTCCGCGCGAGGGTCCTAAAAAGAAAGAATAAAAACGAAATAAAGTGCGTGGAAAAATAAATATCTCTTTTTGATCGAGAAATGCGGAATTCTAGCGGTGATTTAAGTCTTAGAAATGCGGAAACATCTCAGTAGGAGGTTGTTGGTTTAGAAAACTTCGTTGTTGTGGGGGGGGGAGGAAAACGCTCTTTATTATGAATTACGTCTATTTAATTGATAGTTAAAAGATACTCCTGGAGAATTGCATCCTCAGGATAAGGTGGAAATGTAAGCATTTTGTGGAAGAAGAAAATTGTGTCATTTCTCGGACGGGTCATTCAGCGCATACAACCCTACCACGCACAAATTCATTTGCTGTATTGTTATGCCACATTATTATGAAAGATGCAGTAATCTGTATTTCTGGCTTTAGTTAATTATAAAAAAATGCAAATTACTGTATTTTCAGTTATTAAATAATGAATAATATCTGTTTGAACATCAAAACAAACCAATAATATCAATCAAAACCCATAAAATAGTAAGTCACATTTACAGACTAAAGCTATGAATGCATCTATAATGATTCTTTTAGTTCTTCACTAGATGGCAGTAAGTGTTGAAAACTGAAGAACTAATCCAGCTGGCAAAAGACAGGATTATTAATTTTGTGCATGCTTAGGTCTAGATTGCTACTAAGCTAATGCATTAGTTATTGTATTTACTCAAATATAAGACCTTCCCTTTTTGCTGTATTGTTTCTCAAAGATGGTAGAGTACTTATAATCAAATATTTTGATAACTGAAACTGCACACTGAAAGGAAGGAGTTTAATAACCATACCATAAGCACCATACAAAACACAAGGATAATATATATAAATTGTATATCCTAATTTTAATTATAATAGACTAGCATCTACGTGGCCAGCCTTTGTCTGGTTTTTAAATGTACCGGAAAAATGACCACAAATTTAAAGAAGAAAACAATGAAATAAGCAGTATCCCTAAACAAAATGAGTAGCCGAATAAGAGGAACCGCCTCCTGCTGGCGCGCAACAAACGCCAGTATCAAAGAAACTTAAAAAAACCACAGATGATCGCCCTCGTTTTCCAAATTGGCACAGGCTGAGGTTCACAGCAGCAGCCAGTATACCCGGTGAAGGAAAACGGGCCCAAATACATGCTAAAAAAGGAAACGAGGCAAAGAGGGATAAAGCGAAAAGAGGAAAGTTAAAAAAGATCGAGGAGGGCGGGGGCATGGCTTTGTCTAAGGACCTATATACCAAATTTCGTAGCCCTGGGTCTATTAGCTTATGCGCAGCACAAACAAAAGACACACAGACTCTTTTATTATATGTAGAGATATGTCTAACTGAGTGATTTCTCATCACATAGTCACTAATATATTTTAAAACAAATTCATAACAATGTATCACTCAATTTCCCTAATTTTTTCCTTTTTAAATTAGCCAGCTCACTCTTCTTTTAAAATAGAAACAAATTAATTCTAATCAGAACCACATCTCAGAAATATTCACCTGCATTATTAGTTTTTAAAATTTATCATAAAATGTACAGATGGGTCATCTTTTTTAGTAAATACAGAAACTGTTCTTTTTTTTACTTGTATGAAGTAAAGGCAGTATTGTAATAGTGAAAAATGTTGGGTATCATAATTCCAACAACTCTCGAAACCATTTAAATGAAGCTTTTGCATAACATCTGCATGTACACAGAGAACAAAGGATTGTTTTTGCCAAAAAGGATTGCAAATTGGATTTAACATGGATTCAGAAAAAATTCTTTTCTTGACGTCTGTACATAAGTATCTCGCATAACTCAAGTATGAGCAGCCATAGAACATTGAAATCTTGTATATGGGACTGGTATAACATGTAGTTGTGCATTTCTCTTTTAGGTTGCAATCGGCTGCACCAATCGTATATATATATATATATTCCCACTCTGTTACCTAGCTTGGTTATATTTTTTTTTTATTCTTACATGTTGGTAAATAGTGCATTTTCTTGCTTTAAAAGTGACTGAATTATTTTTTTATATTCCAGTTAAGGTTTTTATGCCTTTAGTTAATATGCATGCAATAGTTGTGTAGAATTATCAACAATTTAAAAGTTTAAGTGGCGAGTTTGGCTTTAACTCGCCACTAAACCATGGCCACTTGTTTACATTTGAAACTCAGTAGAACAGTGAATTCAGTCAGTTTCTGCTACTTTAGTTTCTTTTTGCTGAGTGGGATCAAAAGTAAATTTTCGGTCTTCTGCAATGAAAATGTCTGCCTTCTTGCCCGCTGGCCAAATCATTTGTTTTCGTGTAGAAACTTTTTTTTAACTGTATTTGATGTTTTGTTTTTCCCATATTTTACAATTTTTAATGAGGATGTTTTGAGTTTTTATGTATTTCTGCTTTGCCGCAATGAGAGAACTGAATTAATTGAATGAAAAATATACCTATAATAGAATTCAACAAAATAAATTAAAATGAAATACAGCAAAAACTGTGTATAATTTAATAGGCCATAGGAAGTCTGGTGTCAGCATCTTTTGGTGTTCAATAGCAATTCAAACAAATTTAACAATTATTTTAAAGCTACTAAACACATTTTCCTTAAACATTAAAAAATATTAATTCACGGATACTGCAATTTTAGCTTATTATTCCCATTTCAAAGTTAATTTTAAATCCACTTTTTACCAATTTATACTTCATTCTAGCCTTTTATTTATTGTACCTGAAGCAAAAATATTTTATGCAAATACTTACTGCATCAGCATCTTTACTTCCATCAACTTTCAGAACCATGCCTTTTTCACTAAACTGGTTTACAATTGGCAGAGTATCCTGATGAAATGTGTGAAATCTAAAAAGCAAAATAACCACTGTCATTTGAAGGTGAACAAAAATGAAACAAATTCCCAAATTACAGTTTGCCAGGTTCATAATTAGATAATGCAGAAAACCTTCAGATACATATGTAATTCTAAAGTGCTAATTTATCACACTATTACATATATTTATTTATACAATACATTAAGAAATTAATTTATTAATAATTGAAGAAAATGGACAATAATTAAGTAATAATAATTAAGAAAATTAAGCAATAATTATCTGTAGGTAATTAAATTCCAATTTAATAATTCTGCTGTGTGTGGAATAATTCAAAACAAGAATCGAACACATAAGACAACGACAGCTTTTTTCGCCGAGCAAGTAAGAAGATGCATCACACATCAAGAAAGCTGATGTCTTACGCCTTCTGTAGCAATGCTGTAAAGTTATGTTTTAATTAATCAAGAAAGTCTATCTTAAGTTTTAAAATAAATATGAAAAAGGGCAACTGGTCTGAGTTTTTCCATCATGGACGTTCGGTGATGTTACACCCGCTATAGTCACTAGATGCATTTTCCCAAATTCTCCAAATTAAAAATAAATAAAATAAATGAAAACATTGAGCTGGATGCACTTCCCCACATTCTGATAGCGAAAATCACAAAGAATAAAACAAAAAAATAAATAAAAAAAAAAAATCTGAAATTTTTCAGATTTAAATTAGTAAAAGGGGCGTGTTTTTTAACGTTTTGCGTGTTACCTTTATTTATTAAATTCATGTTTTGCATAAACATAAAATTCAGTTCAAGAGAATATCGCAAATAATGTAACTAAGCATATCTTTAGAATTCCCAATACACAGTCTCGCGAGTGAGATAAAAGTATTTTTTTCAAATAACGTTGCCATTCCGCTTTTAAGCATTGAATTTTAAATAAAAATTCGTATAAAGTTTTAAAAATATAAAATTTAATAAAACAATTCAATTGGGATTTCGATGCACCATTATTGCCCGCCCATTCGGATTTCGTCATCACAATCGATGGCTCTAGGTATCATTGTTATCACAATGCGAGAAATAGACAATCTTTATGCAGATTTTTCCTTATTAATTTCTTCAATATAATGCAGGACTTAAACATTTTGTGGACGTTTGAAAGTGACGACGTTTATGCGTCCGAGCAAATCGCCAAAACGAAAACACTAGTCTTCAGGGACAAAGCCCCTTTGACTAAAAAAAAAAAAAAAAAAAGAGGGGGGGGGGAATTCTACGAATAAACAAATGTGCTGGTGTACCTTTAACTTAAAGAGCTGTGATTCCCAGTCTGTTAACACCAAAAATGTATCGAAAGCAGAAGCATAGAACAGAAATTGATGCTCATATATGAAGTTCAAAAGTCACATGACTTAAATGATGTGAAAACCATACCGTCTACTGGCTTTTAAAATTGTTCCATTTTCAAGTTATGTACATATGATGATGGGCTGAAGAGATTAATCAGAGCACTTTGCATATATGCAACAATGGGCTGGTAAAAGTGGAATCATTGCATTGCGCATATGCAACGTTGGTCCTAAGCGGCTTAACAAGACGCTTTTTTTTAAAAGTCCTTCACTGTTCATGAATGAAAAGATTTCAAAAGCACTTACTTTGACAAACATAAGATAAATATATTTATACACACAACAAAGTCATTGCTAAAAAAACATATATTTTATTAATTAGCGAGACCTTTGAGCTTATTTTTGCGAAGAATCAAATTACAGATGTCTTTCTTTTGTCTAGTTTGACAGTCACTATGGCATAACCAAAACATCTCAATAAAATACACGAGTCCTTTAAATAATTAAGCAGTTAAAAAAAAGGAAGTCCCAAAGTAGAATATTTTATATTGTTCGGCAAGTGACATATCACAAATTTACTTTGGCATTTAGACAGCTATGCCTGTTTTTATTTGAGATTTGTTGTTACTT